CGATGAGCGCTCAGAGGCCGAGGGGCCAGGCTGCGCAGGGACTTTACAGGAGTTTAAAGTCACTGTTTAAAGGAAGTGGGAGGTGGACTTAGAAGGAACGGGGAAGGGTCTTCTCCTGCCTCTAGGAGCTGTAGGAGTCTTGTATCTGAGGTGCCTTCCCAGGGCTGCACGCGGGTGCTGGGACCCCTCGGGCCCCAACAGCCCGTGTGGGGCACAGGCTGCACCCTCCTCACCCTCTCCAACTCTAACCCTATTTGCACTTAGTATTTGGTTTAATGAATTTTAATCCAGGTTTTAGTTAATGGTTTAGCCACCTGCACGTTTATTCGCCGAACACTGAGCGGCTGAGAGCCAGGCTGGTGCCCTTTGTGGAAAACTGGCCCTGCCTGCCTGGCTCCCAGGTCTCGCTGGGCCAGGGGGTGGGCCATGGGGCCGTGGGGGCATCGCAGGTCCCCTGCTCTGTGGCACATCAAGGCACAAGTGGCCTCTCACCAGGGACCGGATGTGGGGTGCATGCGGCCCCCCTGCCCAGAGGAAAGCCAGCTCCCCACACCGGAAACGGGCGCTGGTGTTGGCGACACAGCATGAAACGGGAAAACCAGGCGCTTTCCTCAGGAGCAAAGCTGCTGTCTGGCCACTGGGTAGGGTGGGCGGGGCCGGCCTCACGCTGATGCTGGGAAGTGACTCTGGGCCCCCCCCCCCACCGCCGTCTGCTGCTGCACAACTGGGCTCAGGGAGGAGGAAAGGGGGCGCCCCCCCCACCCCCCCCCCCGTGTCAGAGCTTCTCCTCATTTCCTTCCAAGCTTGCTCCCGCGTTCTGCACTTGTCCCAGCAGTCACCCCGCCTAGCACGCTGGCCACCTCGCTGCGTGGATTAACTTCCCCTGTCAGACAGCGGCACTTAAGGGGCTAAGCCCTCTGGGCCCACTTTTCCTTTATTTGGAAAAGCCTGCAACTGTGCGGGGGCATAAAGGCCACACCTGCCATGCTGACCTGTGCGAGAGACACTGGGTGGAGGTGCCGACGGGCGGGACTCGGGCTGCATGGCCCCTGGTATCCCCCAGCAGGGAAAGACCCGCTCGCAGGCGTGTGGGGGCGTCTCGCCCTGGCCCGTGGTCCGTGATATGCTTCCTCCTCTGCAGCCCTGCAGGGACATGTGCAGGCTCTCCTGTCCAGCGAGAGTGGTGGCCTCGACTGTGGCCCGGTGTGTGCTGGCGCCGGGGGCACCGTCTCATCCAGTGGGCCTGCTCGAGGTGGGAGGTGCTGGCGCTCCCGCCCCTACCCTGAGAGGTGCTGCTGTCTGGGCCGAGGTGGCCTTTGTGCAGGAACCCCCTGGAGGTTCCAGTGGGGCATTTTCGGAAGTGGCCAGGCCACCTGCCTGCCTGCCTGCCTGCCTGTAACTGACAGGTGTCATGAACAAATGCATTCCTTGTATGTTGGGCATGAGCATTGTGTCTTTTAACTTAAAACACAGATTTGAAAGTTATCAGTGGATTAGTGTCCTGAACATGAAAGAAATATGAAAAGATGGACATTTAATAGAAAACGGGCCAAAGGCACTTCAACACAAAATGAAACAAAAAATGGTCCCACACTTTTGATAGATACGCACCCTTACCAATAATTTAAACTTTTCGATGAAAGCTGGAGGTTGTCATGGTCACCAGTTTAGCCGAGTTTGTGAGTGTTGATCAGATTCCGTGCTGGCGGGGTCCCACTTCCTTAGGGTCCAGCACGGCAAGTAGCCCTCCTGCTTCTGTGGAGCCACTGGATCTGTTCTGAGGGGCCGACACCGGGCTACTGCCACCTCTGGAGCGAAGTCGGAGGACTTGCTGCCCATCGTGTGAGAGGGGTGGCCTGGCAGCCGTGGTCACTCAGACCTCAGGAGCTGTCTGCCCACTAACGTTTTATTTACTTATTTGGGCAGTTGTCCGTAGCCTGATGCTAATGGTAGAAGCTGACTGTGGGTCAGGGTAAATGATGTAATCCCACTTTTATTTTAAAAATGTGTCTTTGTTTGTTTTTACTTTTAGTCTATATCCATTTATCTTTAGAGAAAAAAACTAGGACAGGATATACTAACCCAAGAATGTAATTCTGTTTTTCACTTTCTGACATCTCTGTATTTTTAAAATTCTGGTTTTTGAAAGATAGCTTTTGAGATACAGTTCACGCACCGTGTAATTTGCCCATTGGAGATGTACAGTTGGTGTTTAGTATATTCAGAGCTGTGTGGCCATCACCACAATCACGTTTAGAACATTTTCATCTCCCTAAAAAGAAACCCATTCCCTTTAGCTGCTCCCTGCCCCTGGCTACCGCAAGTCCGCTCTGCGTCGTGGGCAGGCCTGGTAGGGCACATCGCGTAGGAGCCACACACCGCTTGCCCGTGGGAGTCTGCTTCCCGCGCGGGGCATCGTGTCTGACAGGTGCGTCCTGGTTGTCGCGGGTGCTGGAGCTTATGGGGCTGGGGCTCCGGTGGGTCAGGGCCCCTCCCGAGCACCTGTCGTCGTTTCTTCTGCAGGCCTGCAGGCCCCAGTTTCTGTGCGGCTGTGTGTTCACTGCTCCGGGGCATCGGCCTGGGGCAGGTTGTTGGGCCACAGAGGTTGCTCCGGGTTTACCCCATCTTCTGTTCCTTCAAGCAGGGGATGACAGTTCAGGCTCCTCTGCGTCCTCCCTGACATTCGTTACTCTCTGTCTTTGATTCTAGCCTCTTAGTGGGTCTAATTTTGATTTTAAATCCTCAATAGATTTTTATTCTTGGAGAGAAAAAGCAGCTTTTTCTCTTCAGTTAAGGTGAAAGGGGTGGTCCTTTTCACGGGCGTGTCCCTTTTAAAGCAAACAGAATCCAGGCCACAAAGGAGTTGAGAACACAGGAAAATGCAGGAAAAATGTACATACAAGTCTACTTATGAATCAGCTTTCTGTGAAGAGTGGCATCTTCCTGGGATACGTGTGCTCAGTTTGGGCAAGGATTGGGCACAGTCACTTGGGCAACGGTGTCTGCAGATGAGCGGTCCCAAGGCCGTCGAGTCGCTGCTGGTCTGGGGGCTGCCACGCTGTCCGTGGCCACGCCCTCCCTCCTGGCCTGGACAGCCGCTGTGGTCTGCGGGGAGCGCCGTCCGGGTGCGGGACCGTCCTGTCCTGTCCCCTGGGCACTGTCCACGGTCACATCCTCCCTGCTGACAGCTGCCTTACTGGCCCACCACTCCTGCCCTCTCCCCTGACCCTCCATGACCCGAGGGAGCAGGCACTCGCAGCAGTCTGTCCGTCAGCCCCACCTTCCGTATTTTGTGAGCCAGACCCCCTGCTCACCCCCCTGCCTGGTCTGGCCTTAGCTCCCAGCTTCCGGCCCCCCTCTCTCGTCCTGGCCACACCAGCCTCCTCACCCTTGAGTCCTGCAGCCCCAGGGCCTTTGCACACACAGTTTCGGCTACCTGGAACCTCTTCCCTGTCTCCCCGTGGTCCTTCCCTGTTCACGTGCTCAATGTTCACCCATCAGGACATGACCCGGCTCTGTGGCACCCACTGCATCTCAAACACCAAGGTTTCACTTGGCTGCTGACCACGGCCGCAGGGCGGGCAGGGGCTGTGCCCCAGCAGGACCACAGCCCCTGGTAAACAGAGGTTGGATGAACTACACATTTAGGAGTTTAAATCTAACTCCTTCAAACCATCTGGTGCTTCTCATTAAAATGAACCCGGAACCCAGACTCCAGGTCCCCAGCCCCCAGGGCCGCCCTCCGCACCCTCGCCGCCTGGTCTGCCTGTTCCTTCCGCCCGGGGCCTCTGTGCTAGCCCTGTTCCCACTGCTGCACCTCCCCTCTCCAGCCCCGGCGGTCCAGCCCTGTGGCGTCCCTATCTTCTGCTGTCATGGGTGGCTCTGACCGTCACAGCTTCCTGGCAAACCTGCACCCGCAGGCTCTGTGCCCCCCGCCTGAGGGCAGCCCCATTCCCGGGTGACATGGCCTGTGACTGGCTCTGGAGGTTAACCCCAGCAAGGGGTCTCCTGGCCTCTGGTTACAGGCTCGGCTCAGGCCCAGGCTGTGCCCCTGCTCCATCCAGGTGGACTCGCGGGCTGAGGAGCAGCCTTTTAACTTCCTCGTGTCTTTTAAAACGCAAAAATGTTTAGTATTTTTAATCTTGATGAAGTCTGGCTTACCAGGTTTTTTCTTTTAGCTGTTGTGCTTTTGCTGTATCTGAGAAATTGTTACCTAAGTCCGGTCACAAAGAATTATTCCTATGTTTTCGTCCACGTGTCTCGGATTGGCCTCGCGCTCAGGTGTGCGGTGCTCTGAGTCGGCTCCTGTGCGTGGCGGGAGGCAGTCTCTGTCTACCAGGACCACGCGGCCTGCAAGCCCGCCCTCGGTGCTCTCTCAGGCATGACCTCCTTCCTGGGGCCTTTCACGCTGGAAGGGCTGGTTTCTGGGTTCTCACCAATCTCGGCCCGGTCAGCCCCTCCTCCTGCTCCCTGACTCGGCCGTGGGTCCCATGTGGACAGCACCAGCCGTGGGCCCTTCTGGACTGGTCTCATCCGACCGCCCACGGCCCTTCTCCCCTCCCCACTGATGCGCAGTCCTCCCCCGCTTCTCACCCCGTGAGTCCGTGACTCCGTGACCCCACGATCCCGCGACCCGGGGCTCCTCGCTCCAGCTCTGCATGCAGGCCCTGCTAGGGAGGCAAGAGGTATGCGGTTGTCACCATGAGTTCTAGAAAAGGAGGTGCTGTCTGACGCAGGGTCTTGGAGCTGTGCTTCTAACATGGACAGCGGGCCTTCCCGGGGGCTGCATGCGCTGAGCCCACTGCTCACTCGTCTCAGGGGAAGGGGCAACGCTGGGGCCGCCGTGGGGAGGGTGTCCGCACCTGTTGGCACTGGTTCATTTTCACCCAGCTGAGGAGCTGCAGTTCCCGCCTCCCATGGGAACCCGGGTGCAGTGCCGGGTGGGCCCCAGGCGGTGACGCAGCCTGGCCGCGGCTAACCGCCCTGCTGTCTCTGTCCAGCCCCTTCTATGGAGAAGACTTCTACTGCGAGATCCCGAGGAGCTTCCGCCACCTGTCCTTCTACGTTTTCGACAGAGACGTGTTCCGGAGGGACTCCATCATAGGTAGGTGCCGACGGGCTTTCCTTGTTCTCCCCGCCTCCTCTGAACAGTCTTGTCCTGGCAGGATTGGGGCGCCTCTTTTGGACACCCCGTTCTGAGCTAGTCATGCCTGCATTTTCCACCTGCCCTTGCTGGCTGTTCCGGACCCCGCCTGCCAGCCTATGCAGGGTGACAGCCCATAAGTGGGGACACTGGGACATGCCAGCAGAAGTTTTGAGGCTATCCTTCGAGGCAAAGGTGGGCGCCCCCAAACGACTTCCAAGGGCTTCTTGAAGGGGCCAGTGTGCCAGGTGACCCTCCCCCTGTCCCCAGGCCTTGCCGGTTCCTGACCCTCAGCACCTCTCCATGGAGGGTTGGGTGGTATTGGGGTGCTCTCAGACCTGTTGGGGTACACTCAGATGTATTGGTGTGCTCTCGGACATGTTGGGGTGCTCTCAGGGGCACTAGCGTCCTGGAGAGGGTGAGCCCACCTTGAATGTGGAGGAGCCAAGAGCCACCAGTCTGGCAAGTGCAGCTCTGTCCCAGGAAAACCCTGTCTGTCCCCCGAGGCACCGGAATTAGAGCAGAGCAGCCCCATGTGGGCCTAGCTGTGGCCGTGGGACCCGAGCTAACTGTTGGTGGCCTGGCCACTCCTGGCTGGAGGCGTTTGGGTGCTTACCTCCTGGGCAGAGCAGTGGAGTCTACGTGCATCTGACCCTGCAGACTCTGCGTCACCATGTCCCCCACTCCTGGGGCGTCCCACCAGCTCCTCGCCACCCACACGTGGCTGGTCAGGCGTGTTTGCATCCAGGCCAGCAGCACTCAAGACAGGTGGCCACTCCCTGCAGCTCTGTCTGTCCCCAGCCCTACCTCGCACCGTGAGTGGTTTTTCCTAAGCTCTCAGGCCCCGCAGGCCCCAGGGTTGTGTCTGGCATGCTGGTCTCATGGTGGCCACTGAAGATTCATCACTACCCGCTAAACCCGCACCTGCCCCACCTCCCCTCCTGCTGACCCACCAGGTCCGCGATGGGAGCCACCCTTCTTCCTATCCCCGTGGCAGCCAGCTCTTCCGGCTTGGCCCTCGCCCCTCCAGCCACTCCCCTCTCCCGTACCAGAGCTGTGTGTTCTCTGCCTGACTGTCAGCATCTCCTCCCAGTTTAAAGCTGACCACTGGCTCCCACGGCACGAAGAGAAAGCTCCAAAGAGGGTCAGGGCCCAGAAATGACCATCATTTCTCTGCCACACCTGGCAGCAGCCGGTCAGCAGTCACTGAATGTTTGTCCAGAGAATGGACAACTTTTGAAGATGCCTCTGTACATTATATTTATCCCATTTTAGAAGTTCAGTGTGTTTTATAGATAGTTTCCCATCTAAAGAAACCCTTTTCTGGAGTTAGAGCCTGATTTACACAAAAACAGAGAGAAATGGCCAAATTTGAGGCCACACTGCATGGTGTGTCCTGGAGAAGGAAGTCCATACTCCCTAGTGTGCATTTAAGACCTTTGATAATCTGACCCAGATCGTTCTCTGGGCTTAACTTTCCCACGTCCACTCTACCACTATACCTCTCTCACCATAAACACACGTAGAGCCAACACCTGCACCTGCACGTTCTTGACCTGCACCATCTGCCTGTCGCACCCTCGTGACACTGGTAGCCTTTTTACTGCATCTCAGTCTTCTGAGTCTCACTAGTCCTGTAGGGATGAGCTCAGATGTAGCCACGTGTTCTCTGCAGCCGAGCAGTGTACAAAGTCCAAGTTCCCAGGCCCCATCCGTGCAGTGGACCCAGGTTGCCAGGGCTGAACCTGGAATTCCACCCAGTTCCTCAGGTGGCTCTTACAGTCGAAAGGAGGCAGCACGTGCTGAGTCCTGCTGTAGCCAGGCCCCGTGCTGCATGAGCCTTTCAGTCACCCGAGGAGGGAGGTCTCACCCTCACTTGCTGAGGCTCAGAGAGGACTAGACACTTGCCTGAAGGTGCACAGCCAGTGACCCAGCACCTGTCGTACACAGAGACGAGGGAGCAGAGGGTTATGTCCACACTGACCTGGTCGTTCCGTGAGGCCCCTGTGGTGGCCTCCCCTGCCATCGCCTCAGAACTCGCTCCTGCTGGGTTCATCCCACCAGCGTGTGGAAGGCAGCTTCCCAGGGTTTGTCTAAATATTTCGTGTTTAATCAAGCGTTCAGATTTGTGCTTTCCCGAGACTCCGGGCACCGGCCGTGTGGAGCGAAAGCTCTCCTGAGCCTGAGTGGCCCTGTCTGACCGCAGGGCAGGGGGCAGCGGCACCAGGTCCGCCGTGTCTGTGGCAGGGACAGGGCTGGCAGGGTGACAGACGCGTCCCCCTCACCTGCTCCCTCCAGGGGCCCCCCTCCACCCGCCCTGACCCCAGGCTCTGTCACCAGGCTCCCCTTTTAGGACCGTGGTCCTTCCTGGGTCGTGGTGGCTTATTTCCTGCCCGGACTCACCTCCTGCTGTCCAGCGGGTGCTGAGGTTTGTCCCAAGAGGAAAGGGAAGGGGCCGAGCACTTGGCTGGGGTTGACATTCTGCTGGATGAAGCTGGCTCAGATTTTACCAGAATGAAGAAGAGTTTGATTAACCCTTGGAGCCTGTGTGAGCTTTTTCTGAGTGGCAATCCTGAGGAAAAGAAATTTTGAAGTATCTTAATTTTAATCAGAGAGCTTGCTCAAATTGGTTCTGCAGTTATGTCCCCTCAAAACAATCAAGTTGGTTATTAATCGTTCTGTTGAAGGCACTGCTATTTTTAAAGATAACCAGCAAAATCATGGTTTAGCAATTCCTGGTGGCTTCAAATTGAGGGTGTGTCCCACGCAGCCGGATCCAGGTGCTTTCACTGTCACTCTCACAGCTGCAGAAGAGGCTGTCGGGGCCTCCAGGGGTAATTTAAAGTTACGACTAGTAATCATGTTGTTACTGGGATGAGAAACCAAGTTCTAGGGTATAAATTTGTGTCATGGAAACAAGCAGTGTCTGCCGTGGGGCCCCCGGCACCGCCTGCCCCACTTCAGGTTCCCTGGTGCGGCCGCACGTGCGCCTGGCCGTGGGCTCGGGGCGGGGGTCCCAGTGAGGGTGCTGGAGACGCAGGCATGGAGGTGAGGCTGTACCGGCTTCGAGGGGGTGAGGGCTGGTGGGACTCAAGTAGGGGGAGAAGCCGGGGCCCTCGTCCCTCCCCCGCTCTGCCAGCCTCCTCTCCCAGGGGCCTGGCTCGTACCACCAGCCCCTCTGTCCCTCCAGCCCCGGAGCTGGAGGGGCTTCTGCAGTTTCTCTCTTCAGAGGGGAGGGGAGTGAGACCTTTATTCCTACGTTCCTAAGCAAGGTTTATTGAGGTATCGTTTACAGGTGGCGAATTCACTCATGTCAGGGGTAGAGTCTGTGGTGTCCCCCAGTGTGCACCGGGCTGTAACAGCACCACGATTAGGGAGACTTTCCCTCCCCAGAAACTCCCGCGGCCCCGGGAGTTGGCGTCCTCCTCACATGCCTGCCCATGGCAACCGCGACCTCGTATCTATTTCTTGTCCACATGAATGAAACCGCGGAATGTGGCCGTGGCACCAGCTGCTTGGCCCAACACCATCCTCTCTGCGTGTCCGTCGCGTGGACCTGCCACGTCCATCCAGTCATCACCTGATGAGTGCTAGGGTTGTGTCCACGGTTAACATTCTTGCCCAGGTCTTTGTGTTTCCATTTCTCTTAGAAAATACGCAGGAGTCGGGCCGCGGGGCACCCCTGCCGCCCCTGAATTGACCGCTTTGCCTCAGGGCTTGTTTGCACCAAGGCATTTGAGAAGGAGCAGACGCAGGGGAACCCCTCCGTCCTAAGGTCAGCGGAGCACAAACCCGGGCAGAAGCTGACGAGGCCGCCCTAGACCCTGTCAGCCCCGAGGGGCCGCCAAGGAACCCGCACCCAGACCTTGCTGACCCGCTCTCTGGAGCATCGGTTCCCACCTGCAGTCACCTTCCTGGAAACTCCAGTCCTTTTCCTGTTTCTCGTTATGTCTCTGAAAATTGGTGGTGGTGGTTTCAGGTTAAGTTGCTGCAAGGTGCAGCCACCTCTTTGAGTTGCTCATCACCGAGTTCCCACAGGCACATCTGAGATTCACACGTGGATAAACTTCCGTCTGCTTTTCTCCTGTCAATCTTCCTTGTTCCCGGAGAACCTAGAAGGGCAGAAGCGAACAGCTTTTCCTTCCCGGGGGCGTGTGTTTGCCTCTGCAGGAAACCGCCGGACTGCCTTTCTGGCTGCACCCTTCTGGATTCTCTCTGGCGCTTGGTGTCGCCAGCTTCTGTTTTTAATTCTCTTGCCGTTCTAACGTGCACAGCATCGTTTGTGACGAAGCATGGTGCCGGGCGCCCTCTCGTGCGCTGGCCTACCGCCTCTCTCTCATCTGTGGGGAGTGGGTCACACCTCTCGCCCTTCCAGCTGGGCTCTGCCCTCACTGAGGTCACAGCTCTTTCCAGCACGTGCCGGACGCAGCCCTTTACCAGGCGTGTTTCGCAGGTATCTTCTTCTAGTTTGTGGCTTGTTTTCTCATTTTCTTACCAGTGTCTTTTGAAGAGAGAAGCTCTTAATTTTGATGAAGTCCAGGTTATCGAATTTCTTTCTTTTATGGTCTGTATTTTTGGTGTCATGCCTAAGAAATCTTTGCCTGCCCCCGGGTTTTGAAGATTTTCTTGTTTTTTCTTCTAGAAGGATTTTAGTTCTAGCTCTCACATTTAAGTTTATTTCGAGTGACAGGTGGAAGTCAGGATTCATACTTTCCCTCATAGACGTGCAGCTGAGTTCCCTCAGTGCCTTTTGAAAACCAAGTGACTTTGTGTGTGTGGTGGGGGCGGGGGTCTCCTCTGGCTCCTCTGTGCTGTTGCACTGACACAGCTGTGTTCCTTCCACTGTCTGGATTCCCGTATCTTCATGGCAAGTCTCAAACCAGCAGTGTGAGCTCTGCAACTTTGTTCTCTCCCAGACTTGTTTTGCTATTCTAGGTCCTTTGAATTATCATTTACATTTTCAATCAGCTTCTCAATTTCCAAAATAACCAAGGTTGCATTGGTCTACAGATTAATTTGGGGAGAGTTAACGTCTTAACAAAACTGAGTCTTCAGACCTTCATGGGGTGTCTCTCCACAAACTTGGGTCTTTAATTTCTCTCATCAGTGTTTCGTGATGTTTTCAGCATACACATCTTGCACATACGTATATATGTATGTATATATTTTAAATTTATCCATATATTTTATGTCTTTGGTGGAGTAGACAAAGATTTCTCAGGTCATGCACCAAAAGCTCAAGCCATAGAAGCATCATTTTGTGAATGTGCTGTTGGTATCTTTCCAATTTCAGTTTTCACTGTCATCACTCATAAGTACAAACACAGTCGGTTTTTATGTATTAACTTTGTATTCTGTGGTCTCGCTAAGCACACCTGGTCTGCTAGCTTTCCTGCGTATGTCTTGTCGATTCTGTGAACAGAGACTTTGGTCCCTGCTTCTCCGTCTGCGGGCCCTGGCTTCTCCCGCACCTGCCAGGACACCAGGTTGCACAGGAGCGATGGGAACAGCGTCTCTGTAGCCGGCGCTGTCTCGAGAGTGGCCTGCGGTGCCTCCTTAAGTCTGGCCTTGGTCACCATCCTGCAGGTTTCACCCCGGGTACCGGCCGTCCCCACGTCCTCTGACGCTGCTGTGCTGGCTCCCCACGTCACACACCCCGTGAGCCACCTGACCGGTGCGGCACCGTCAGGGGAAGGAACACGCGAGGTTTTACTGGTGGGAAGGCCGGCAGCACCACTCTGTCCACGTGGGAAAGTGAGGCCGTCTGGTGTCACTCAGTCCATCAGGACAAGTCTGAAGGTTACGACACATCAGAGACACTCAAGCGGACGCAGATCAGGCACTGCCCAGAACGCGGCAGAGACACTGATACACCCTCGTGCACTCTTGGACGTGACGAGTCCCTACAAGGAGGGACTGGAAGCTGCTGACAGGTGACCCCCCGGGGAACCGTGTGGCAGAGAGAGACTTATTCCTGGCTGCGTCTTACATCCTTTTGAATGTCTCAGACTTTGTGCTGTGTTCCTGTGCTACCTACCTAAGTTAAATTAAGTACTTCCAGAAATAAGGGGTGGGAACGATGTACAGGTTGTTGGAGTCGTTTGAGTATTAACTACACGGCTGCTTCCTGTCCCGTTAAAGCTCATAAAATCATCGCAGTTACTTAAAATTTCAGACTTCAAGTGGAATCCTCCCGTCTAGCGGAAGTCCATGGAGTCTGAGGGTTTCCTTATCCTTTTTCACTGAAACATATTACCCAGTTCAGTTCCAGGAAACTTCTGATTCTTGTGGCTTTGTTTCTGCAAGATTCAAAATCATATCCCATTGGGAAAAAGGGTGGGGTTTGCAGGAGCCAAGTGGAGAGGGACACGTCTTCTCGGGGGGGCTCGACCTCGTGACAGGGTGCACTGGGGGTGGTCTGAGGTGGCGGGGCCCACATCAGGGCCTGGCAGGACACCCCCGAGGCGAGGAGGAGGCGGGTTGGAGGTGGTGGGGGAGCCTGCGGTGGGTCCCAGGGAGCCGTCCTGTCCTCAAAACTGAGCGCTGATTGGCGGGGCCCCGTAGACCTGTCGCAGACGTCTCTGAATTTCCGTGGTGCGCCCTCTCCACAGCCCGTGCCTGCTGTATTTTCTGCCCGCTGCCTCCCCCTTCCATCGCTCCCGCCCGCTGACTCCTTGTGCCGTGGCCTCAACCCCTGTGAGGTCCGTGGCTGGGCAGGATTCTGCCCTGGGCGGCCCTGTGTGGCTAGAGCTGAGTGCTGGTGTTGACTTGAAGTGCCAGGTGTGCTGCGTCCCCTCTGCAAGTGGACGGGAGGGCTGGCCTTCAGCTAACAGGCCCTGGCCTTCCCCTGGCTGCGTGCTGGTGTGGGAGGTGAGCAGAAGAGCCAAGGCAAAGATGCCGAGACGCCGAGTGGACAGTGAGTGCTGCGCTGTAGCTCGCACAAGCACGCACATTTCCACGGAGTCCCCAGCAGAGCCTCCAGCTGCCGCCGCCCCGCTCGGCTCTGCTGCCCGGGTGTCGCCGAGCCAGGCGCCGTGCTCTGCTGGGGCAGACGTGGCACCTTCAGGATGAAACAGGCATGTGCTGATCTTACGGAGGAGGATGTGGCCTTGTCACTCTGCCCGATTACGTGTTCTGGACTTTACCGTGTGAGACAGTTGGCCGTGATCCTGGAGCGCTTTTGCTCACACCCTTATTGGGGGGGGGCTTGTTCCCTCTCGTGACCACGTTTCCCTGCTGACGTTCTAGGAAAGGTGGCCATTCGGAAGGAGGACCTGCCGAAGTACCACAACAGGGACACCTGGTTCCAGCTGCAGCACGTGGACGCGGACTCCGAGGTGCAGGTGAGGCCCTCGCCGAGCCGTGCGGCACGGGAGCCTCGGGGTGGAAGAGACTCTGGTTGTGGGTGAAGAAAGGGGCATGGGTTCTGGCCGCCACCGAGATGACGGCTGGCAAGCTATGCCCTCCACACAGTGAGCGTTGCCGTGTTAATTTTGTCTGCCCTGCTGATTATCGTCAGACTTAGTCATGCAGCTTAAAAACGTAAAATACGGAAGGCCTAACACATAACTGAAAGTGAACAGAAAACGTGGGGAATACACAACAAAGCTGAGCCTGGTTGGCTGGAGGGGGGCACCCGTGGGTTATTGAGCCACTCACTCTCAGCAGAGCAGGTTTGGAGCTGGAAGAAATGAGGGAGTAACGAAGCCCCCGTGGTCTGGGCGTCCCTGGGCTCACCAGCTTCCCTTGACCGGGGGGGCACTCCCCAGAGCTGGGAGTTTCTCCCCCGCAGGGCCCTTCCTGGGTTGGATCCCCCCTCCACGCTCAGCGTGCAGGAGATGCCCAGCAGGGGTTCGCCTGCACCTTCTCTGCTCTTGCCACCTGGCTTGTGTGGTTTCCAGCCAGAGCTGCCCGGAGCCCAGGCCAGAGCCTGGAGTCCAGGACCAGAGCCCGGAATCTTGGGACTGGGCCGGCACTGAGCTCAGGGAGGCTCCAGGTGCTGGTCTTCTGTAAAGCAGGCTGTGTCACGGACAAAATGCCTGGGGTGCACAGGCCCCTGGCGGTCACGGGGGTCATCCCCAAACTTGCACCCAGAAGGACTTACTGAGGAGCTGAGCCAATCAGCCGTCGTGAGGGTGCCTCACACCTGATCGGTTCCGACTGGGGGCCCACACCCGCTGCAGAAACTGGGGGACGCCAGAATCCCTGCAGAACCGATGACAGTGCCCACCTGACAGCGTGGGGGACCCTGACACAGAAGGTCAGTGGCACCCACTCCGCTCAGGTGCCCAGAAACGGCGCCTTCAGAAGGCGGCTCCCGGAGCAGAAGCACCTGTTGGGACTGGACTTGCTCTCGGTGCGGGTGCTCCCACACCGGAGGCTCGCGGGGCCGTGGGGAGAGCAGCACCCCACGTGCTCTCCCTGCATTTAGTCCCCAGATTCAAGGTCACTTTTACTGCTGAGCATAGCTTTTCCTTTTTCTTGATTTTTTTTTAAACTTAATTTTGAAATGATTACAGATTCACAGAAAGGCTCAGAAAATACCACATGGGCAACAGTGATTAGTCTTTACATGTAAAAGGCTGTGGCTCGCCTGTTCACATGTGAAGACTGAAAATAAAAGAAAGGTGTGTCCCTTCGCTGGGTGCCCCGAGGTGACATTCGAGTAACTGGCGACCTCGGTCATCTCATCAGTCCCACGTGTGCAGCTGCAAGCACACATGTGAATCCTCTGCGGTGTCCCACATGCATGACTGTGTAATGACCTCCACAGTCCAGACCCGCTGGGTCACTGCTGCCCATGTGAGTTATGCAGCCAGAGGGTGATTGACCCAGTCCTGGCGAGTGGCTCCTCTGACTGTGGTGCAGTGCTGGCACCCTGCGGATCACAGATGGTGACACCACATTCCAGGCGCTGAGTGAGTGCTTCCCGCAGGGACTTGGTTGTCAGGCTGCCCAGGCAGCGGCCTTTCAAGGTGCAGTGATGCACCTTCCTGCAGCCACACTTCATCCCAAAATATCCCCATCACCATTTCAGAAGGACCAAGGACAGCACAGTATCTCGAGCCATCTGCTCAGTGACTCACAGTTAAAGGTGTCAGAAAGGAAGCGTCATACAACTAGGGTCAATGGGAGACCAGTGAGTCACAGACAAAATGGGGGGGAAGGTGACTTAAAGAAGCTGTGGTATATTTGTGCAGTGGAATACTACTCAGCCATAAAAAGATGAAATAATGCCATGTGCAGCAACATAGTTGGGCCTAGAGATTGTCATTCTAAGTGAAGTAAGCCAGAAAAGAAAAGAAAAATACCATATGATGTCACTTATATGTGGAATCTAAAAAAATGGCCCATAGGAATTTACTTACAAAACGGAAAGAGACTCAAGGACATGTGGTTACCAGGGAGGGGAAGAGGGGGCAGGGGTTAAGTCAGGGGTTCAGGATTAACAGATTCACACTGCCATATCAAAGCAGATGAACAGCAAGGTCCTGCAGTACAGCACAGGGGACTGCATTCAATAGCTTGTAATAACCCATAACAGAAAAGGATCTGAGGAAGAGTATATGTGTGTACATCTGTCTGTCTGTATATATACATATAACTTAATCACTTTGCTGCACGCCTTAAACATTGTAAATCAGCTACACTGCAAAAAAATTTTTTTAAAGATTCTGACTTGCCCTGGAGCCGACATTTTATGGGTCTCCAGTAACCTGCTCGGTTCACAACACCAGCCCCTCTGCTCCTTCCCTGACTTGGGCTGGGCAGCCTCAGGGCGAGGCTGTCGCAGGGACGGGACAGCCCCTCCTGCGGTCCCTGCTGGGCTGTGGGCACAGCAGCTAGAGCTCTGGCGCCACCCTCCTGTCCACAAGGGCCCCTCCCAACTCCTCCAAGGACCCCCGGCCGCCGCTGTCTCTGCCTAGCACCACTTCTGTCAGATCTGGCCCCCAAGGGAGACACGGAGGAGCTGCCCCAGCAAAGCCACGGTCCTGCCGCTGGCTCTCAATCCTCACAGTGACACTCTGCATCACACGTCCTTTTTTAAGGACTCCCCGACAACCAGGGTCTGCAGTCGTCCCTTACAAGGACCCGGGGGTCTCTCTGTGGGAGGAGGGTGCAGCCCCTTTCCCCTGGACGGAGGTCCTGCTTCTGTGGGGTCTGCCCTCTCCGCCTCTGCCCCCTTCAACAGTCTTGGCCCTGGCGGAGGGTGCAGGGCTCCAGTCTGGCCTCTCAGGCCCCATAGACAAGGATCAGCCGGCAGGACGCACCTGCTGCTGTGCCCACGTCTGCCCACAGCCACAGCGTCCCCTCCCCAGGCCAGGGGTCGATGCCTTCCTGAGGAAAAAGGACTGGAACCACTGGTGCCTTTTCTCTCTTAATTAATAAACTTTATTTTTCTAGCAGTTTTTGGGCGGAAAGTGCAAGGAGCTCCATGTCTCCCCGCCCCTGCCGCCCAGTGTGGGCGTCTGGCGGTGCACTTGTGACACTGACGCACCAGCGTTCGCTGAAGCCCAGGCCTCCTGCTGCGGGTTCTGCTGGGGGACAGGTGGTACCGTCCGGATCCACCGGCAGAACCACAGGGAGTTCCACGGGGTCAGGAGTGATTCTGGTTTTAGTCATTCGCGCCTTCTTTTCCCTTCGTTTGCTTGGCTGAAAGTTTATCAGTTTTATTTATCTTTTCAAAACCCGACTTTGGTTTGTTTATTTTCTCTGTTGATTTCCTGTTTTCAGTTTCGCCGATTTCTGCTCCAGTTATTGCGTCTTTTCTTCTTCCCACTTTGGGTGTGACTTGCTCTGTTTTTCTGGTTTCCTAAGGTGGAGGCTTAGGTTACTGATTTTCAGGTCTGTCTTCTTCTCCAGGATGTGCAGTGACTGCCGTGAGTTTCCCTCTGAGCATTGCTTTTGCTGCATCTCACAAAGTTTGCTGCTTTATTTTCATTTTGACTTGTGAAAAGAAGTGAGTTCCGAGTATTTTTCAGTTTCTCTTGAGACGTCTTTGGCCTTTTGTTATTTGAAAGTATGATGTTTGATCTCCTCATATTTTGGGATTTTCGAGCTTTCTTTCTGTCACTGATTTCTAGTTTACTTTCCACAGGGGTCTGAGGGTGGCCGTGAGACGATTTTCATGTTTCTAGACGTGTGTCCAGGCCCGGGGGCTCTGAACAGGTGGGCATCCTGCGTGGGTTGGTGACACTGTTCAGTCCTGGTTGCTCTTTAAGGCTTCTTATCATTGTTCTCCTCAAACAAGACCCGGGAAGGTGGTGACGTCTAAATTTTTAATGCTCTGTCCTGAGTTTTTCTTCTCACAGACCCACATAGACGCGAGGATTCTCCTCCGCGCCTCAGTGCCTCTTGCCTGGTCTGGACCCCCAAGGGCCAGACCGGCCACCTGGGCTCTGGTCGCCCTCAGCTGAGCATGGGACCTGTGGCTGCCTCCCTGGAAAGTGCTCCTGTTGGGGTCAAAACAAGTTGGGAAGCAGTTACTTTTTACATTTTTTATTTATAATGATTACTGTATGCATTTCTAAAGGTTACAGTTACTGCAGAATGCAAGCTCTGCCCCGTGTGTGCAGCACGTCCTCCTAGTTTGTGCCCCCCTCGTCTGCCCGTGGGGGCAGCTGTGTCTGTAGCTGAGCAGCTGCAGCGCAGACACCCCTGCTCGTCCCGAGAACGCTCGGTTCAGAGACCGAGCCTGGAAACTGCTCTTCCTGCCTGCCCCTCCGAGGGTGTGCCCCGGTCCCCTGGGCGTTGCCCCAGGTTGTCTGTGCGGAAGGTGGGCTGGGTGAGGACTGAGGTAGGCGTCTGAGCTGCAGACCCGGGGTGATTCTGGGGGGTCCGCTCCGTGGTGTACGGTCTGTGTTCTGTTTCCCTCGTGCCTTCCTCCGCAAATCACCCGCACTGCAGCGAAACAAAACAGCTGACGGGTCTGCCCCTGCGGAGGGAGGGCTGCCCTAAGAGAGGAAACACGTGGGGTCACAGGACCTGCTGGCATGGAGCTGCCCGAACTCCTCTGGGAAAATAGGAAGCAGGGTGGCCAGCGGCCCCTCAGCCCAGCACCAGGCACCAGCGGTCAGGGCGCACCTCAGCAGACACAAGCTTCGCTTCTTGGAAGCGAGTCAAGCGTCATTTGGGGACGTGTCCGTCTGAGGGCGCCCGGCGCACCTTGGGGTGGGTGAGGGACGCCAGCCTGACCAGGACTCTGTCCTCTCATGGAGATTCCTGCTGAGTTCCATGTCCGAGCTGTCAGCATCCGTGTCTCCTTTCTCTGTAGGGACCGCAGTGCCCCTGGGGGGCTGTGCCGAGCCTCGGGGTGACTCGGAAGTCCCGGCCCGCCCACGCGGGTATTGGGCAGCGTGCCACGGCTCTTTCTCTGGGGACTTGTCTTCTCCACCCCTGCCTCCCACTCCCAGTTACCAGCCTGAGGATTTGCTCTGGGCTGGGGTCAGGGCCAGGTGAGGTCTGCCAGGAGGGCGGTGCTGCGTCGTGGACCCTGCGTCCGCACACCTGACAGGAGTGTGGGAAGAGCTGGTCAGTTCGCTGGGAGGCCACTGCCCCAGCCAAGCACATGCCCGTGGTGGGCGGCACCACCCAGATCAGCCCTTCACAGATGCAGAGAGGACACTGCTGTCACTTGGGGCCACGCGCTATGATGCCGGTGGCTGGTCCGAGATTGCGGGACACATCACTGGCCGTTTCACCTGCCCATCACTCCCGCCCTCCCTGCAGCCACTCTGCCATGGGTGAGGGGACAGCCAGGAAGGATAGCATGCTGCCGTGCCCGCAGCCGGGTGTCCGGGAGTCTGCTGTCCTGAGCGCCCAGTCTCCCCCGGAGGAGGCCAGTTCTGGCATCCGTGTTATCAGGGAGCCTGGGCTAGCCACCCACATCTCGGCCCACGTCAGTGTCGTGGGCATGGTGTCTGTCTGCGAGGTCAGCCTGTCCCCCAGGCTCCTGTGGCCGAGCTCTGGCCTGGGGGCATCTGCTTGCTTCCAAGCTCACGATCCCAGAGGCCATTGGAGGGACGGGCTGGTTTATTCCCGAGAACGGCTTTCGTGGGGGCTTGTGTCAGCCCCCAGTAGGGGCCTGAGGGGCCGAGATGGGGCTGGGGCGACAGAGGTGTCACCCTGACTCATGTCACCACCGGATCCTCTTTCCTTTTTGTTTTCTGAGCCAGTGGATCCCGGAGCCTCTGGTCTGGAGGCGTGGCTCTAGCTAGGGTGCTCCCTGCACCCCTCCACCCCACTGGCGGGCCCCTCCTCATAATCAGTGCTGCTGGCATTTTCTCAGAACACTTTCCTGGGGGCTCACCCCAAGCCCAGAAACAGCGGCAGGACGACTCTGGTACCGTTTAGACCTGGCCGTGGGAGCTGCCTTTTCTGGGGCAGAGGAGCCCCTTGTCCTGGGACAGCAGCCGGTCTAGACTCTATGCTGCTGGCCAGGCCAAGCCCGGAACTGGGGTTTCTTCTGGAGAGGCCAGCACGTTCTCCAGGCAGACGCCCTGGGCCGGGCAGGAGTGGACAGAGCGCCAGGTGGCCAGTCGCTCGGAGAGGAGGGGAGAGGCTGCTCAGGGCCAGGGAGGGGTATCTCTGCTTCTGCCGAGGGGAATTGTAGAGCAGTGACAGGAGGCATCCTGCCCCCCACCCCTGTGCCCCCGGCAGCCAGCATCCCACCATGTCCCTGGTCCTCCTGAGACGAGATGGCCATCGCTGGCTCCCCAGGCTGCCGAGCCCAGAGTTTAGTCAGAAGGGGCTTCAGGACGATAGATCCTGTTGAGTTCCATGTCTGATTCTTACCCGGAAACACTTGTGTCCTGCCTCCTCTGGCTGGACTTTTGGGAGCTGGCCTGTCTGCTTCTGTCTTTGTGGCCCCACTCGCTGTGGGCAGAAACAGCCCATCCTGCCCTGTGACTCGCCGATCTGCCCTCTTCCCGGAAGCACCCAGGATCCTTGACTTCCCTCCTGAAGAGCAGGACTCGGGTTCCTGGCCTCTGGTCCGACCTCGGGTGGGCACAGAAGCATCGGGTCATGGGGCAGAGCTGCGCCGCCCCCCCCGAGGCTGCGGGGGCAGCAGAGTGAACACGGCCCAAAGCGACAGCCACACACTGAGCTGCTGCTCCCTGAGCGCCTGCTGCTCCCTGAGCTCCGGCTCTTTGTGCTGTTTGACCAGCTGTCAGCGGAGCTGGAGCCTTTAACTCTCGGGGATCCAAATTGGGCGGGTGGACATGCGGCAGACCCCACGCGTCTGTGACTGCAGACCCAAGCTCCCTGCTGCACAAGGCTGCCCCGTGACCCCGTGTCCTTGTGTCTTTCAGGGCAAGGTCCACCTGGAGCTGAGGCTGAGTGAGGTCATCACTGACTCAGGCATCGTCTGCCACAAGCTGGCCACGCGGTAAGAGACGGGATGGCCCCCGTGGCCCGTCTGCGGGGAGTACATCCAACCTCCAGGGAGTGGGGTGGGTTGGGTTTTTCAACAAGTGAGTCAGGATTTCCAGCCTTGAGGACTCCCTCGGCGGTGTTCTTAACATCTTCATAACACGAATGCCCATCCCAGAGGCGACAGAGTCACTCAGTGCAACTCCAGGCTAAGAGGCTGGGGTCGCAGCCCTGGCGTCACACACGGAAATGGCAAGGTGGGGTGCCCATGCCTGACCTCTGACCCCAACCCCGAGTCCAAGGCCCCTCCTACTCCCACATGCTTAGTGAGTGTGCGCGTGTGTGTGTGCAGCTCTGTGCATGTGTCTGAGTTTGTGGTGGACTCTTGACCTCTAGGGCCTCAGACCCTCGGGTGGTCTGGAGGAAGCTGGCCTCAGGAAGGCTGGACACACGCAGGACTCCCCGCGGGCCCTCTGACCACAGCGAGGGCTTTGGTGCGCTCCCCGTGGACAATCTGCTCCCACTGCCTGCCCCGCGGGCCCCGCATGTGTCTTTACCAAACACACTGGCCAGTCTTGCAGGATCAGTGGGCAGCGGTCAGGAGTTGTGCGCCGCCCCTCCCGCAAGCACCCCACGGGTGCTGCAGAGTTCGGTGGCTCCTGCAGAGGGAAGGGGCCTGCCCGCCCTGCGGGAAGGGACGTGACCCTCTGGTGTGGGGGGCCCGCCGGAGACAGGACAGCTGGGCGGCTGTCCTGTCTTCGAGGGCACCTGCTACCGGCCAGCGAGGGCTTCAACAGATTTGGTGACACCCTTTTCTTGGGCTTAGGAAATGCTGGCAAAGCCTCCAAGTTCAGCTTTAGGTTTCCACGGTCTCTGGCCACCAGCAGGCCTGGGGGAGGGGGAGCAAGGTCCCCCGTTGTCTGTTGTCCAAGGGGGTCCTGCCCCAGCTGCCCACAGCATAGTCTGCTCACGTTCATCGTCTGATGGCTGAAGACGGCCCGGTCAGCTCAGGCTGCAGGGCTGTCCCCGTAGCACCTGCAGGAGGGCACGGTGTGGACACATGCAGGGCACGCGTGGGACGTGGTGAGGGCTCTCGTCTGGAGTGGTGGACATGAGCTCAGTGATCTCCTTCATTTTCCCTTTTCTTCTTGAAATAGTTGCTGTGCCCTCGGGTCCAGTGGCCGTGAGGCGAGAGCTGCCTGTTTTCTTGTAGTTTATCCCATGTTGAAAAAAGACTTGACGTGAGCCTCACACAGAGCAATGCAGCTGTGTCAGTGGTGGGGAGACGGAGGGACAGGCGGGCGGAGAGCAGGAGGGTGAGCACAGGGGGTGTGGGCCAGGACCCTGTCCTGAGGGTGGCCCCACCTCTGACGGCGGAGGGTGGAAGTGAACCGTCTGTCTGGGAAGAGCAGTCCTGAGCGGGTGACCACAGGTGCAGCGCCCAGAGCAGGAGGATGGGCGCTGCAGTGAGGAACCTCCCCAGCGACATCACAGCTACCTGCCCCGCTGTCCCTGCTGTCTCCCCACCCCACCAAGCCCCGAGTTGACCTTGCAGAACCCCATTCGTGGCCACTGCGGACTCGGGGATCTGGTCTCACTCAGCTTGTGGGGACCCGCTCATCCTTGGACCCCCTCAGCTCCAGGAAGCTCGGGTCCCAGATGGCGAATCCCAGCCCCTGCCATTTAGAGACACCTGCCTTCTGTGTCCAGCCTGTTCTTTTGGGTCAGGGTGGCTTGTAACCTTGGAAGCACCTGCTCTCCTCATCCCTGAGGGGTCTTGAAGGGTCTTCACTGCCGCTTTGAGGGAGGTGGGGTGTCCATCACCCATCCCAGTGAGGAGGTCTGTTGGCCCTGCACCCCACTGTGTGTCCAGCTGGAGGAGGAGGACGGGCAGCCAGCTTAGTGGGAAGCTTTGCTTCCTTTGTCCATAAAGTGGGAACGAAGGCGTCTGGCCTTCCTGCGCTGGAGCCCCCCCCCCCCCCGAGCGTCTGTGCTCACGGCTCCATGCCCGTCCCTGGACGTGTGTCCGAGATGTGGCGAGAGCTCAGAAAATACTTGTTTAGAGATGAGGTAGTTCCTGGAGAGAGGAGGTGACCAGGACAGGGTCAGCAGTGGGGGAGAAGCAGAAATGCTCCAGAAAGAGTGAAGAGAGAGGGCTGGGAACACGGGCTAAGGCTGGTGGAAACTGTGGGCCCTCACGAGACCCAGCCTGTCTCACGGGGGCTCCAGACAAAGTGCCAGAGAAATGGAGAGAGGGGTCCATCAGACCACTCCCAGCTCAGGACAGGCCTGCGCTGCGTGGAGGAGGAACCGGGAGACAGAGGCCTTGCCTGGTCAGGAGCGTCCGGTGATGGGTCAGCACCTCGAGGCTTCCCAGGAAGGTGGAAGCTGCCCAGGCCGCCTGGCTTCCCCAAGTGCAAGGGACCCGTGGTCTCCCAACTTCAGACATGAGGGAGAATGGCACAGCCAGACCCTCAACGCCCTAGTGTGGGGTTAGGGCTTCTGCCTCCTGCCAGGCAGTCACTGGGGCTGGACGCCGTCAAGTGAGCTGTCCAGATGGTGGGTGGTCAGCCCCGAGTTGGGGCAGACAAGGTGAGCCAGGGGCTGGCTCTTGTCCTGGGGGTGCAACCAGGCATGGGCAGCGGGGTCTCCCAGGCGAAGCCTGAGGTGGGTGAGGAGACAGACTGGGGCTGTGGGTCAAGGCCACTGTGAGTGTGTCCTGGAGGGGGGACTTGGTGCTCCCTGGGCCTGCGTGGACGCCCAAGGTGGGGCACCTCAGGCCTGGGGTCATTCGAATCTCCCCCCGCCCAGTGGAAGGCCCTGTTCTCACTTGGACACTCAGCATGGACGTCAGGGGCCGCACCAGGCAGTGGGGCAAGGCTGCTGGCACCTCCCTGACAACAGTTGCTCCTCAAACCAGAGACCCCTGACCGCAGATAGCATGAGGGCCAGATGACCCCAGGATCTGGGCACCCACAGCATGACGTTCACAGGGTCCCACATCTGCTCAACACAGGCCGGCCAGGAGCAGGAGCAGGCACAGTCCAGCAACAGACCAGGGTGATAGGTGATGGGGTAGTAACCAGGGCGGGTGTGACTGCCATCTAGGAGCAAAGGGAGCCCCAGCCCGCAGCAGGGTCAGGGGAGGGAAGCCTGACACAGGTCTCCCGCTGCGAGGGGTGTGAAGGAGGCAACCCCAGGCTGCAGCTGTCGTGCCCTCGCCTGCAGGGCCGTGGTCCCCACCAATGACTCAGACATAACCCCAGACCCCACCTGGCAGGACTGCGGGAGACAAAACTCTCCAGCCACTCCTCAGAAGTGGGGCTGAGCATCACTGCAGAAGTCACCAGAGCCATGTCCTGCTCAGCCAAGGCCACTCTGCCCTTCCTGGGAATGCACACACACTTTCTCCTGCCCCCAGACGGTCCCGGGCAGGGACGGTCAGCTCTGCCCACGCGTGGCTCTTGGCTCGAAGCTGCTGAGACAGCTGACAGCTCGGACCCTGGGGCAGTCTTGGGAGGTGGCTGTGGGCCTCCTGTCCCCTGCTGACCCTTCCCACCTCTCTCCTCAGGATCCTTGAGTGCCAGGGCCTCCCCATCGTGAACGGGCAGTGTGACCCCTACGCCACGGTGACACTGGCAGGACCGTACAGGCAAGTGTGGCCGGGGGAGGGCGTGGGCATGGGAGGCGATGAGGGTCGTTCAGTGGGGGCGTGGGGAGCCCAGACATGGAGGATTTTGTGTCCTTTGTTGCCCCGAAGTTGCTTCCTGAGAAAGAAACCTTGTGTTCTTCACAGCGAGTATTTTTGGCTCAGTAGAGGTTCCTGGTTTGCATACCATCTGGGCTCAGAGACAAACAGGAACCTTCGGAGATGCGTTGCTCACGCACTTGGTGGCTCACCTCAGGCTGGCAGGTTTAGTGTCAGCCATGCTGTTTCCACCCTAATCCTTCCTCCCACGACTGCAGGTCGGAAGCAAAGAAGACAAAAGTGAAAAAGAAGACCAACAACCCCCAGTTCGACGAAGTGTTTTACTTTGAGGTTGGTGTTTGGGGGCCGGTGTGATTGAACCCACCCCCAGAGTCTGGCAGAGTCTGGCAGAATCTGGGTCCGAAGGCCTCCAGCACGCCCTTCCAAGAGTTCCATCTGGCACACGGGAGACCCCCTCCAGCCTGCAGCTCCGATTTCCCTGGAAGAAAGGCCACTTGTTGCTTCCAGCAGAACCCAGTTTTCAGTTGAATGCTGACAAATTAATACTTTCCAAGTTATCGAGCCTTTGGGGGTTTACCGTTTGTTAGGTTGGGGCTTTGTGTCTTCTGCCTCTTCCCTGAGCCGGGAGGGGGCTTGTTTCCCCAGAAATAGTGAGGTCTTGATGCAAAAGAGCAGCTGCAGGCAGACAAGACACCCCTGGAGCTCTCAGAATATGGGTCCCCCGGACAGGTCGGACGGCGCGCCCAGGGCAGGACAGCAGGAAGAAGGCCCAGAGGCCCCGAGCTTGTCCCAGGCGCCCTGTCCCAGGCGGGCAGCGGGCCGCGGGCAGGGCTTCCCCGGGAGTCTGCAGGCCCAGCGGGCGTGTGGAGCACCAGGCTGCGGGGGTCTGTCTAGGTGTAGTGAGGCTGGGGCCAGAAGGCGGAGTTTTGGGAAATGAGATGAAGGGTGCGTTAGGGCCAGCAGAGGACCTGGGCCTTTCCCCACTGTCCTTGGCCCCCACGTCTCTCAGGTGCGGGGGCTGCAATCTCCCCGTCTGGTAGCCCTGGAGAGGGTGTGGAGGGAGGACCCGAGGCTGAGGTGAAGAGCCGCCTCTGTCCCTGGACGGTCCCTTTGCAGCTGGGCCACAAGACTCCAGCCGAGTGGGTCCCCAGAGGCAGGGTGTGCATGCAGGACGGAGTGTGGGTGTGAGTGGGCGGCAGGCCCAGCGCTGTCCCCCTGCCCCCAGGTGACCCGACCCTGCAGCTACAGCCGCAAGTCCCACTTCGACTTCGAGGAGGAGGACGTGGACAAGCTTGAGATCCGGTGAGCGCGTGTGCGGGCGGGTCCCTGCTGGCGGCTGCGCCCCGCCCATCGCACCTCCCGCCTGCCTTTGTTTTGTCCTGACATGGGGGGGGGGTGCAGAGAGAGGGGTTCCTCTTTCTCTGTTACTTTAACACTGGAGTGCTGGAAGTTAGAGCCGGGAACTCCCCAGGTCGCTGGGAGGCGGCTGGACGGGCAGCCCAGGCTTTATGGTCGGCTCCGCGGCACCTTTGGAGGCCAAGGCTTCCTGCCCCTCAGGCGGGCGCGGCCTGGCCTGGCACGGGGTCCTGCCGCTCTAGCCTCGCAGGGAGGTCGGTGTGCAGCCTGCACACGTCACCCTAGAGGTCGAGGGTCGCAGCATCCACTTGAGGGCCACGCAGCCCTGAGTAGTAGCCCCCACTAGGGTGGGAGACCCGAGTCACAGTGGGGGGCTGGCCACAGTGAAGCCTAACCGGCCCCGTCCCCAAGAACCAGAGGGACTCTCCAGTCTTGACGTGGTTGAAAATTGCTTTCCTGAGGCACCTGAGGTTCCCTGGAAGCACCGTGGGCATTCAGTTGGGGGCGGACTCTGGGTTCCTCCCAAAAACCTGGCTCTGAGCAGTGACCAGGCCCTGGAGTGGGGTTCTGGGCACGGGGGGCGACCAGCAGGTGCAGGGTCGGCCGAGGCTCTTCCCTCCCCTTTGCGGGTCCCTCCACCTCCACGGGCCTTTGTACACACGTCTCGGTTTGAGCCGCGTCCTGAGTGTTTCCAGTCAGTTTCAGTCTTCCATTTCAAAATGTAAACCAGAAGCAGAGTGACCCCAAGTGCTGTGTCCAGGCAAGTCCAGGCCTCAGGCCTTGTTCTAAGCGTGGCTGTGCCCCAGCTGCTCCCTGGACACCAGCCCTGCCCTTTGCTCAGAGAAAGGAGTGTTTCTGAAGGACTGGGCTCTGAATTCAAGGGACGTCCTAGGTGTGTCTGTGAGCACGTGAACTGAGAATATCTGTGAAACGAGGCAGCCTGGTGGCTGGTTTGTCTCATCGCTGAAATGCCACCTGGAGGGTCAGTCTCTGCTTTCTTTGTTTGGAAGGTGCTGTGATGTGGGACATGCGTCCCCTGTGTCCCCCTCGCCCAGACTGCTGCTGCGCTCAGCCTGGCAGGGAAGAAGGGTGGTATCATCTCCTGGAATTCCCCCATGACGCGCCAGTGTGGTCGAGCTGGTCTCAGGTCTTCAGTCCTGAGTGACCAGGGGTTAAATTACAGCCTGTGGGGTGTGCGCAATGTTAACACGGGAATGCCGCCCGTCTGTCATGCACATACAGGCCCCAAACTGAAGGGAGCAGTGAGCATTCTGTCCGAGGGAAAAGGCTGAGTGAGGGTCAGGACACTCAGCAGGAGGGCATGGGCTCTCCACACGGGGCAACCGAGACGTGACCGCCCCGTCAGCCTCCCAGCCGCGATCACACAGGCGGGTCACGAGGTTGGCAGGTGCAGGGACCAAGTGCAGGTGGAGGGAGAGGCGTCAGGGACACCACATGTCCTCCTATGATGGACGTGGGGCGTCCTGGCCGTGAGGTGGGCAGCCTGGCCCATCCCTGGCGGCGCCGTTCTCTGCACGTGCCCAGAGGAGCCAGTCCTTGTTCACCCTGCGTCCAGTCCTGCAGGCCGAGGGCACCGTGCCCCCCGGGGCCGTGGTCCTGCTCCACCAGGCCTCCCGGGTGCAGGACACGGACACTGATGGCCTCAGCACCCTGCAGCCCCTCCTGCCCCGCCTGACACGAGGGCGGGGGGACCTCATACGCCGGCTGTGCCCCAGTGGGGGACCAAAGGCTCTGGGTTCTCTGCAGAGAGAGCAGGGGTGCAGGGACCCCCTGCCCCTTCCGGCCTCCCACTAAGAGGCCCGTATGACTGGTGTTTTCCAGGGTGGACCTCTGGAACGCCAGCAACTTGAAGTTCGGGGACGAGTTTCTGGGAGAGCTGCGGATCCCACTCAAAGTGCTGCGGCAGTGTAGCCCCTACGAGGCCTGGTGAGGGCATGGGGGGCCTCCCACTCCCGTCCGCACGGGGCTCAGAGGATGGGGGGCCACGCTGAGCAAGCATCTGAAGGGTGGTGGCTGAGCCTCAGGCAGAGTCCCCTGGCGGGTCACTGAGGGGGCCGCGCCTGCTCTGCCCCCCGCCCCTCCCACTGCACTCTGGACCCTCCGTCTCTGGGGGTGCCCTGGTGCAGGGCGCAGGCCTGCCGGTTTCAGACGAATGTCCACTTATGCCCGACTGGGGTCTCGGCCACCCCCATGCGTCCTGGGGGCCAGGTTTCTGCTCCCCGTGTCCCTTCTTGTCCCTGTGGCACCTTGGCTTCCTGTGACAGTAGTTCATAGGTCACATGGCATCACAGGGAGGAAACGCCAGTGCGAGGCGCCTCAGACACCTTGGTCGCCACGGCCTCACTTCCCACATCTCCTTTAACAGACTCAGGTGGGAGGGGGTGCGGGTCACACGCCACACGTCACACACATGCCTCACGGCACTCACACGGCACACACACGGCACACACATGGCACAGCACACTTCGGAGCCCTGCATACCTGCAGGCTCTCTCTGTGATACTGGTTTGCTTGTGCCCCAAGGGGTGTCCCGCCACCAGGAACCGGAACTGGTGTTTCAGTTCTGTGCAGACGTTAAGCCCGGGGCCCAGCAAGGCTGGACCGCAGGAGGCCCTGCTGGGCTGATGGCCGTGGCCTCAAGACAGAGATGTGACCTGAGTCCCAGGAGGTCGGTGCCTCAGCCAGACACACTCTGCCCACGTTGCACCTCAGGCCACCTGGCCGTGTGCTCAGAGTAGACAGGGTGCCTGCAGGGCCTCCCAGGTGAGCGGAAGAGAAAGGGTGTCTGGTCAGGAGCACAGCGAGGTGACTACGTGCCCGGGCTCTGCCCAGCCAGCAGCACAAGCTCACCGTCCCCTCTGACGTCAGGAGCTCTACCACACGTTTGTGAGAGTCGTTTCATCCAGGCTCTGCTCGTCACAGGCACCTGCTGGGTGTTCACCTTCACGAGTAAATTACCCCGGCGTCCTCCTAAGCTGCTCACGGCTCACCCCTCTCAGGCTGCCTGTCCCTGCCACTGTTCCACTTTCCCACCTCCACCTGAGTCTGAGGCTCTGTGGTCAGCCTGATAACAAACATCCCATGCAGGCCGCCTGCACAGACCCTGCAGGGTGCGTCAGGTGGGAGACCCCCCCCAGGTGCACAGACCCTGCAGGGTGCGTCAGGTGGGAGACCCCCCCCAGGTGCACAGACCCTGCAGGGGGATGTCAGGTGGGAGACCCCCCCCAGGTGCACAGACCCTGCAGGGGGATGTCAGGTGGGAGACCCCCCCCCAGGCGCACAGACCCTGCAGGGGTGTCAGGTGGGAGACCCCCCAGGTGCACATACCCTGCAGGGGGTGTCCTGCAGAATCTCCCAGAGCCCCTCTCCTCAGAATCTACACCACCGGAGGCTGGAGGACCACATGGAGCAGGGTGTGGACTGACCCTGGAGGGAACTAGCCCCTGGAGGGTGTGGCTGCCTCACGCTGCCTCGTCCCCTTGTCCTGTGCCAGGTACTTCCTTCAGCCCCGAGACAATGGCAGTAAGAGCCTGAAGCCGGGGGACCTGGGGTCTCTGCGGCTGAACGTGGTCTACACAGAAGACCATGTCTTCTCCTCCGACTACTACGGCCCGCTGCGGGACCTGCTGTTGAGGTCTGCGGACGTGGAGGTACTGCGTGTGCGGCACGCCCCAGGGCCCTGCCCCCGTGCTCAGGGCCAGCTGCGCCCCCTTTGCTGGGCTGGGAGCCCTCACACCCACTGCGTCCAGAGCTGGGGGTAGCCCAGCATGGCTGGCGACTTACCCTTAGTTTGACGGGGACCCCAAGGTCATGAGTCCTCTGCTCGCCGGCCCTGGTGCTGGACGTGGGGGCGCAGGGGAGGCACAGGCCCAGCAGGCCCACCCGGAGCACGTGTGTAGATTGGAGGTTTTGATGGGGGTTTTCATGAAAGATGTGTTTTTCTGCCTCAACTAAGAGCACATTCACTGTGATGGGAGGGACCACCGAGCTAGTGGGCTGCGCGGGTCTGGGCTCCTTCACCCTCCTTAACCCGCTGTCTCCCCAGCCCGTCTCGGCGTCTGCAGCCCACATCCTGGGCGAGGTGTGCAGGGAGAAGCAGGAGGCGGCAGTCCCGCTGGTGCGGCTCCTCCTGCACTATGGCCGGGTGGTGCCTTTCATCTGCGCTATCGCCAGCGCCGAGGTCCGGCGGACCCAGTGAGTGTGGCCCCGGGTCAGGCCTGAGTCCGGTGAGGGGCAGGGCAGGGGGCCAGGCGCTGGAGGATTCCCGGGGACAGGTTTCCTCCAGAGATACACTCCCCACTCCCCATTTCAAAGATGTGCTTTTTCTCTGGAAACCCCAGGCCTCAAGGCAGGAAGGGGTGAGGAGCACCCGTTGCCCCGAGGGGCTCGGTGCCTGAGGTGGGAGCTGCGAATCAGTCTTAAGCCCACCTCAAGCCCACGGCAGAGGCCGGGCCGCCTTGGCTCCAGGGCCTGTGGCCATTCCAGGGAGGCGGGTTCTGCTGGGGCGGGGCACCCTGGGACCGTCAGAACAGAAGGATGTGGAGTGTGCCCTGGGGGAGGGTGCCCTGTGACCTCCTGTGCTGACCTAGACCCAGAGGAGCAGAAGGGCCCTCAAAGCGCAGAACGAGGAGGTGCCCGTTGGTGGTGGCCGTGGGTGTGTTGGCCTTTGGCGGTGGATGGGTTCGTTGCACAGGCAGGCGAGCCCAGCTCAGGACTCCCAGCCGTGAGGCGTCGGTCAGGGCAGCCTCTGCCTGGGACACCTCGCTACTGGTGACTGTTGTGCAGGGACCCCAACACCATTTTCCGAGGAAACTCACTGACATCCAAGTGCATCGACGAGACGATGAAGCTGGCAGGGATGCAGTACCTGCATGACACCCTTAAGCCCACCATTGAGGAGGTGAGGGCAAGGGGGCGGGACAGGGCCCAGAGCCCGCAGACCCTACTTCCCCGTCAGCTTCTCCCCGGCCGCCCCTGGGGACCTGCCAGTGAGTCCCAGATCCTTCCACGTTTTCTCAAATCAGACAAACACTTAAGAAAGCTCATGTTTCTGCTAAGATAGAAGGACATGGGAGAGAAAACCCGTCCTTCAGAGGACACCCCCCGCCCAAGTTCGCCAGGTGGGCGGAGATGGCCTCTGCTGTCTCCCACCGGTGGTCAGACAACCAGGGAGGAGTGACTGGCCTCCCCTCCAGAGGACAGCTTCTCTCACACCGCCCGCCGGGGACGCCAGTGTAGGCAGCGCATCCCCAGAAGTGTCGCAAAAGCAATGAGAGACCATTGAGGATATGGTTCTGGTTTGACCTCTGTGCCAAATCCGGGCAGAACTTTAAAGTGAGAACATTACTAAACTTGGTGAACCTGATCTCATGCAGAACAGTCTTAGGAAAGGCTGTTCCCCCAGGGCCCGAGGCCTCGCACCCCTCAGTGTCCTGGCCACGACCCCACGTGCTCCTTGTGGCGTCCGTCACGTGGTGGCTGTTCTGGACCCACTGCGATGTCCGCGGGGCTGTCCACCCGCTGGCGCTCTGTAGTGGGCTCACACTCTCTGGGTTGTGAATGCTCTTTGCAGATTTGTCAGAGTCACAAGTCCTGTGAGATTGACCCCGTGCGGCTGAAGGAACATGAAAGCCTGGAGAGCAACATGGTGAGGCCAGAGGGATGGGGCCCAGCAGGAGGGCGGGTGAGGGCAGATGTTCAGGGACAGCCTCACCGCCCAGCTGCCACCTCATCTGCCTCCACTTTGCTGCTAACCCGCTCTGCACCCTCGTGCTCCCCAAAGAGCCGGGAGCTCCCCTGTGGGGTGGAGCCGGCTCCTCACCTCAGCAAGCATGGGTCCCCACCTGGGCCGCCTCCTGCTGCTCCCAGAGCTCTGGCCCACTTTTTAAAAGAGCAGAATCCTTGTTTAATCTTTCCATGTGGTTTCTTCATGAAGGCTGATGGGGTGGCAGGGCGGAGGAAACGCAACATGCCCCTTCATCTCTAGTTGTTTCCATGAGTCACTGTGACTGGCCAGCACCCGGGTCCTTCCCTGTGACCGGGAGTCAACCCTCCCCCTCCCTTCCCCTCCCATCCCCTCCCCTCCCTCTCCCCTCCCCTGACCCCTCCCACTCCCCTGCCTCCTCCCCTCTCCTGCCTTCTCTCCTCTCCTGCCCTCTCCCCTCCCTTGTCCCCTCTCCTTCTTCTGCCCTTACCTCTCCGCAGTGGTGGGGGGCTCTGAGCAGCCAGCGGGTCAGCCGAGGGAGGGCCGGGTGCAGGCAGCGCTCATCACCCCGCCCCCCCATTACAGGAGAACCTGCGGCAGTATGTTGACCGCATCTTCAACGTCATTACCAAGTCGGGGGTGAGCTGCCCCACTGTCATGTGTGACATTTTCTTCTCCCTGCGAGAGGCAGCCGCCAAGCGCTTCCAAGGTAAGTGCCCTGGGCTGCCAGGGCTCCCCCGTCTGCGCTCACCCCTGTGTGAGCTAGGGCCGCGCTGTGTCGCAGTGTTTCATTCGGGCCTTTGCAGCAAGAGAAGCCACCTTTCAGCTCAGCACCCAGTGTCCTTGGACTCTGCTTTGCTGCATTTTCCAGAAAGACAGGATGAGCCCTTTGTGTCACTGGGCCGGGAGGGAACCCAAAGGAGAGTCTCCTTTTCCGTTATGCTGGTTCCTCAGGGGGCTGCCAGGAGCCACCCTGTACAGACCTCTGCGGGGGCAAAGCAGCGTCCTGCCCCGGAGGCGGGCGTCAGATTCCCTGAGGGCCTGCACGTGGCGTGCCAGCACGGCCTGGGCCAGGCTTCCCAGGCCGAGGAGAGGGCAGTGCCATTTGGTGCCCTGCCTGGTCCAAGAGGCCCCGCCCCAACCCTGCCCACCCTTCCCCAGGGAGCCGTGAGTCAGCGCAGTGTGTGGTGCTGCAGCCCCCAGGGCGATCCCCACAGGCCAGACAGAAGGCCCCACGCCTGCTGGGCACTGCGTCCTCTCCAGCAATGGGGCCTGTACTGGGCCCTCCACGGACAGGAGCCCTGCTTTCAGGGAGTGAGGCTCCGTCCGGCACTGGGAGGGCAGTTACCCAGCACACCTGAGCCCCAGACCCCTTTGAGAGGAGATGAACAAGTCATACCCTCCTGCTCAGCTGTGGCAAACCACCCACCCAGCCATCTCGGCATCGCAGCACCAGGGCTGGTGAGCGGTCCTGTCTGTTGCAGCCCAGCTGCTGGACAGAGCTGAGCTTTTAGCAGCAGAGACAGAGACAGAGCGGGGCAGGGGCTGCAAGCTGGCCCTCGCCTCCGGGAGGCCCTCAGAGGAGTGGGGCTCTGGTCACAGGCGCCCCGCCCAAGGCCCACTGCTGTCCTCTCCCTGTGCTGGCCGCAGACGACCTGGACGTGAGGTACACGGCCGTCAGCAGCTTCATCTTCCTGAGATTCTTCGCTCCAGCCATCCTGTCCCCCAACCTCTTCCAGCTCACGCCCCACCACACGGTACGTCAGCATCCGGCCATGGGAACTGGTCGGCCAGGCCTGGACCATCCAGCCCTCCTGACCCAGCAGGTGGCTTGGGCAGGGTCTGTGGAGCCGTGTGAGGGCAGAGGCAGCACCACGTAGTGACTGGGCTGTGAACGTGCCGCCTGCCCTAGACTCCTTAGTCTCAAGCAGGTTTCAAGACTTTTTAATCTACGATGTGTCGGTAAAACTATTAAGGGGTGACTGGGGTGTCACTGTGGCTGTTACGTGACTAATCCTGCCCCTGGGAGGATGGGGGATCTACAACCTCCTGGGTATCCAGCCGTCCCTCCAGTCAGTCAGCAGATATTTCTTGAGCCGGGCTCCGAGCTTTCACAGAAGGCGCCAAGCGGAAAGCCTAGGCTGAGGGATTCGAGGGGAACGGGCCCACTCCTGCTTTTGTGGGTTTGAAGTAAGTCCGCGACCTGCACTCAGGGTCAGGGAGGCCCCAGGCCGGTCACACGGGAGCGCCGACAGGGGAGGTGGCCGGCAGGATCCGCCCTGCACTGGCCTGAGCAGCTCTTGTCACACTGCTGCGTGTGAGGAGACGCGGGGTCTGGGGCCTGGGGCTGCATCTTCAGGGGACGGTCTGGAGGCACCTCCAGATCTAGTGTCTGCGTGTTCATCTGCTCACTCGCGGACGACGCTCATGCTGGGGCAGCTTTTAGGGGATAGCCTTCGTTTTGTCAGCCCTTTGGGTCACACCTTGTCTGTAAGCCTGTCCCCGGCCCCGTCCCTGGCAGGACCCGCAGACGTCCAGGACGCTGACTCTCGTCTCGAAGACCATCCAGACCCTCGGCAGCCTGTCCAAGTCCAAGTCTGTGAGTCACTGACTTTAGTTCTCTTTTCGGCACATGGTGGGGGGGGGACAGGGAGGAGTTGCATGACCAGGAGCGTAACTGCCCCACCTGCTCAAGCACCTTCCACCCGAGGCTGTGAAACCGCTCTTTGGGAGGAAAAGGACGACAGCAGGTGGTGGGGACATCACTGTGAGTGATGATGTCACCTGTAGGTGATGACGTCACTGTAGGCGGTGATGTCGCTGCAGGCAATGGCGTCACCATGGGTGGTGACGTCACTGTAGGCGCTGGTGTCACTGTAGGAGGTGACGTCACTGTATGTGATGATGTCATCTGTAGGTGGTGACATCACCTGAAGGTGGTGGTATCACTGTAGGAGGTGGAGTCACTGTATGTGATGGTGTCACCTGTAGGTGGTGATGTCACTCTAGGTGGCTAATACTTCCACTGCCGGGTGTGGATTCCCAGACCTTGCCTCCTCAGCCCTTGGTGGCCCAAGTGGGGCTTGAACATCAGTGGAGGTGACCGATGGCTCATCCACACGCAGCCAGGGGCAGCCCCTGCCCTCCCTGGGCCCCCAGCACATTTTACCCCTTCGATAACAAATCTGTATCTCCCCTGCCCTGTCACTCAAGGGCACCTCATGACAGGCAGTGGTGCAAGGGCCAGGTGGGGACGTCCTCGGGGATGGACCCTGCACCTGGCTCCTGCATGGAGGGGCCCGCTGGGCTCCGTCTGGAAAGGGCTGAGCCGAGACCACAGAAGCCCCCAGCCCAGAACTCCTCCTCCTGCTCTGTGCAGGGCCATGAGGGGCCAGGTCCGATCCCTGTAGACAAGCCCTTCGAGCAAACGCTCAGCTTTCTGTGAATCTGGGTAAAATAAAGAGGTAGGGTGGCTCGTGAGCTCCAGCCTCTCTCCCTGGCAGGCAGTCCTAGTTTTTGGTGGCTGGAAGCTCCCGGCGGGGCTGAGATCAGCACAGAACCCACCTCATTTTCACACCTAGGGGAGCGAAATGCCCTCATATGGACACAGTGGACATGGGTGCAGCGTGGGGGCGGCTGCTGGAGACCCCTCCCCGGGTTCCTGCTGGTGCCCTGACTCCCCACTTTAGGAAGCCCCTCCCTACCCCCGGCTCACAGAAGAGACCCCAGTGCCTGCATCTGGGAACAAGTGACCCCAGAGGCGGGTGCTGAGTCACTCGTCACAAGACCTCACAAGGGCCCGGCGGAGGTAGCCTGCTGAGACGCAGCTTGAGGGGGCTCACCCCCAGGGCAGCGCCCCCCAGGGCCACCCGGCGTCTTCCGCTCAGTCACCGCAGCTGAGGCTGGTCCTCACCTGTGCCTCCAGCGTTTCCACGTTTGGCCAGGAGACCTGTATGCATCGTTAAGTGACCTGTTTCATTTTAGGCCAGTTTTAAGGAATCCTACATGGCTGCATTTTATGAATTCTTCAATGAGCAGAAATACGCTGACGCAGTGAAAAACGTGAGTATCGGACTCAAGTCACGCAGTCTCGCTGCCCCGTAGTCACGTTGTTCCCCAGAAGCAGAGCTGCTTGTTTAAAAATTGAGTTAAAATCCAAATAACGTGAAATTGACCATTAACCCTTTCACACTGTTTCACCCTGTTTGGTGAGCTCGCAGCGTCTCAGGACCGCTGAGTCCAGGGCTCTCACTGCCCGGGGCTGCTGGACGCACCTCTCTGGGGTCTAGGTCGGGGCTTCCTTTTCCCTCGGTGCCTGCACGTCACACCCACGTGATTATTGCCCAGTTGTTCTGGGATGCCACATCCTGCCCCGTCCTGGCTGTGTGCTCCTGGTGCCCCCGCCCCGAGCACCCAGGACCCCAGACCCAGAGTTAGGGACTCAGCCCTCCCATAGTATCTCTCTGGGTCCTAGAGCTTTCCTTGTTTCTCCTATTTAGAAGCAGTCTCACATATTTGGCTCTCAAATCATAAAAACTGTGTCCAGGGGAGGGCAGGGGAGGAGCTGAGGCAGCTAAGTGGGTGGAAGGAACCCAGACCGGTCGTGGGACATGAGCAGCAGAACCTGGGGTAGGGTTGCGTGCAGCAGGGCTGCTTCAAACTCCACTAGAAGTGCATTCGGGGGTCACCTGACAAATGCTGGGGACCTCCCGGTGTCGCCTGAAGCCTGGCAGCCTTCCAGGTGCTGCACCAGCCGCGGGTGCACTCAGGTGGGGGCCAGAAGCTACTCAGCCCTAGTGGAGACCAGGGTGGGACCCCTACCCTAGCACCACACCCCAGAGCGCTCTCTTCTCTGGGGCCAGAAAGAGACACAAAGCACCCCTAGAGCCATGCTGCCCAGGAGCGGACATATTCAGGCATGCTGGTTCCCCTTTTAATGATCTGATTTCTTTCCCACGTTTAGTTCTTAGATTTGATCTCATCCTCTGGGAGAAGAGACCCCAAGAGTGTGCAGCAACCCATCCTGCTTAAGGAAGGGTAGGCCAGCGGGAGAGGCAGGGCGGGGTTCTCAGTCTGTCCAGTCAGAGGCCGCCCAGACCCGTCTCTGAAACGCACCAGGCCTGCCCCAGAGCTTGTCTGAGACGCAGGGGTCACTCCCCTGGGCCTGTTCTCTGCCGGACCTGCGGGTGGAGAGATGCTCTCCCGGGAGCAAGGGGGTGGGTAGAGGGACTGTCAGGTGCTCCTGCTGGGCTGCCCACACCCACCCAAGTCCAGGGGCCCGTCTGCTCCCATCAGCCCCTCCCTCTGGAGGGGCTCCCGTCAGGGCACAGAGCCCAGAGACCCAGTCGCCGGTCTCTGCTTTGGGAACAGCCTGCCACGGCTGTGGGCCTGCTGCCCGCACTTTCCTTGGGAGCAACTCTTGCCCATGTTTCAGGGTGGGGGTGGGCGGGGGCCGCGTCAGTGGAGTGCTGGTAGACCACTGGCATCGTCGGCTTGTGACTTGAACCTGACACCAGCGTAGGGGCTAAACTTCAAAAGTAGCGGCATTTGCCTTTTGATTTTTAAATCCTGTCACTTGGAAACAAAATTATAAGGTACTGAAACCCTGCAGCCTGCATGGAGTCTCCCAGGTACGGAAGTGGAGAGTCGTTTTGCCTGCGTGACTCTGGGCTGCTGGGGAGGGCGGGGGCTGGGGATGTGCCCCACCGGCGTGTCCTGTTCCCACCAGGTTCATGATTAAGAGGGCACAGGGCCGAAAACGCTTTGGGATGAAGAATTTTAAGAAAAGATGGTTCCGCTTGACAAACCATGAATTTACCTACCAGAAAAACAAAGGTAACAAGAAAAGTTTGCTTTTTACTTGTTTTCACGTATTTTATTCCAAGGAATAAAATTTACGTATTTTATTGTCTCAGTCTCTACTGGGTCACCACCTGCATCCGGGTTGAGCGGCTCCTCATGGGGGAGGTGGGGCTCTGCCAGCGTGGCCTTGGCAGATGTGGGCCGAGGCTGTCGCCCTCCGGGGCCACATATGGGAACCAAGGTCTCAGACCTAGATCGTGGGGCCCCAAGGAGGTGCTCTCTCCCCACAAAAGCGTGCGGACATGGTTCCTGGAGCCAGGGCGGCCCTGTGGACGCAGGTCCTGTCGGGGGCGGGTGTGAGACCCTGAGAGGGAGACTGGCCTGCTCACAGGCAGCCCCCCCATGCACAGGAGACCCGCCCCTCTGCAGCATCCCCATCGAGAACATCCTGGCAGTGGAGACGCTGGAGGAGGAGTCCTTCAAGATGAAGAACGTGAGTCACCACTGCCCTGCCCTGCGCCTCCCACCACCGCCCTGCCTCCCGCGTCCTCTCTCAGGGTGCGCAGTCCCTGGGTGTCCACCAGGCGCCGTGTGGTTCCACGTCCGAACCTTGGAGCAAGCAGCCCCCACCCTCCACCAGGGTCAGCTGGGGCCTGCTGTTCATTCAGATCTAGTTTTCAATTTATGGGAAAGTTCTGAGAATAGAGTAAGGCTGGTTGTTTGCATTTGTCCACCTGCTGAGTTGTGTCATGCCCTCCTCGTCTCTCTCTGCGTAGAATGTGTGTGTTTTCCCTGAACCACGTCCTACAAGTGAGGATGTCCTTTTCCGTGACCCTGTAGTCCCCGGGATCAGAACGCCCTGCGCTGATGTGGCGTTATCCCTAGTCCACATCCAGTCACGGCCTTTGAGCCGCTGTTTTCCCAGGTCAGCAGCTAGTACTTAGTTCTCTGCCGTCTCCTTAATCTGGAACACTCCTCAGCTCTTCTCTGTGTTTCGCGGACTCAGCCACAAGCAGATAGGCCAGAGTTTGGGGGCAGCCCTCAGTTTGGGTGTCAGGTCGTCAGCGGCAGCAGGTTCTGGTGATGTGTTTTATCGAGAGGTTCACAAGGTGGCACACGTGCTGGTGACTCGTGTCGGGGGCCCGTGGTCCCTCGGTTGGGCAGGCGCTCTCAGGGACACACTGCACCGAGTCAGCTGTGCCCTTGCCCACCCACACGGCTCCTGACTCCTTCACCCTTCGCTGCGTCTGCCGGCTGCCTCCCGCGGGAGCTCTCTTCCCCCGTGGAGGTCTACCCATGTGTTGGTTGGGCCATGAGGCCCCCAGGTCTCCGTTTTACTCTCAGGGGCTGAGTCTCTCACAGGTGTTACCATGTAGATGCTCACATGGCCAAGACTGGCCATGGGAATAGCTCCCCGATCCAGGCACACCCCATACACACGGTTGGGCCCCACTGAAGTGTGAGCCTGGTCCACGTCTGTGGGGACCCACGTGTGGCCTGACCCGGCAAGAGTGTGTGCCTGCTGGTTATTTCAGTCTTTTCAAAGTCAGACTTTGGACCGAGGCTGTGGGAGAGCCCTCACATCAGGCCCGCTTCTGGCCATTCACACACCCACAGCTTTGGGGTTCCCAGCTGTGTGCTCGCTTCCCCAGTGTTGTGGGGACCCGACGGGAGGTGTCTGCATTTCCTGATCACCGAGCACCTCCAAAGGCTGTCAGGGAGGAAACAGGCCGCTGCATCCTCTCCTGCCCCCTCCACGAGGCTCCAAGGGAGAGCACAGGCTTCACCCCTGGTGGGGACGACCTTGCTCTGTGGGCGCAGGCCTGGTCTCTGTAGGGGGACGGAAGTTCCCAGCAGCCTCAGCCTCAGGCTGGTGCAGTAACTGGGAGCACCCCCCATGGCACTCAGTGCGGAGCCTGATCCAGGGGCTTTTCTGGGCTCTGTTTCCATCGGAAAACCTGCACTCTTAGCTCTTCCTTCTTCCCAGTCTCTCTCCATTTCTGCTTCTCTCTTCCTAGTTTTCTAAATGTTTTTTATGTTTTTCAACTTCATTAGCTATATTTCACGTAAGTCACATGCAGTCTTCTTCGAAGCACCGTCGGGCTATAAGTACGAAATAACAAATCGTAGTCCAGACGTGGAATCCTGCCGATCATCCCTGGTCTCCCAGCTTTAAAGAAACCGTGACTGTGACCGGGCTGAGGGTTTGCAGGCCGTGTGGTCTCCGCCCGCCCAGCATCGTGGGAGAGAGCACTCCCAAGTGGTCCCAGGCTGGAGGACCACTCCTCCTGTGCCGAGGGCTGTAGTGGGCGGAGGGGCGGCCCCACAACGTGTTCTCCCTGCTGAGGACAGTGTCAGGCAGCTCTGTACTGCCCTTGAACCTTCTCCTGCCCCAGGAGCCCCCAGCGACCGCTCGCTGGGAGGACGGCTCTCCCCCAGAGCCACGCGCTCCAGCAGCCACAGGCCCCCAGCCCCCAGCAGCTGACCACTCACCCTCTTCAGGGTCCTGGTGTCCATCTGGCTTGTGCTCGTGGGTACCCCGGATGGTCTGGTGTTCAGTAGGTGCCTGTGGCCACTGGGGATCTGCTCGTCTGGCCGGGGCTGGTCTTGGCCCCACGGTCCCCGGAGGGCAGTGCTTGCTGGACTGTTGGAGGGAGCCCCAGGCTGGCCAGCACGGCCCACAGACGGCAGCCCCAGTGCAGCGCCCTGCGCTGGCTTCATACCTGGGCTTCTGGGCGACTTCTTGGGCCAGCTGACGACCGTGTGGCTAGGCTGGGGCGCTTTTCTGGACCTCAGGGAAGTTGACTCCCTGGCACCTCACCTCGGGCGTCCCTGGGCCTGATATCACTCCCCCAACCCCGCATGGGGGCTCTGTGGGCTACGGCCCCAACGTCCGCAGAAGGACCCAGTGTGGGGAGCACTCTAGAAGCAGCGTGAGTGGCTTCATTCCATCGGGTTGAGAATAACCCCCTAATCTGAGCACTTCTTCGTCAGCCTGTTTCTTCTGCTGCCTACCTCAGAGGCAGCCTTCCACGACGCTGACTACCAGGACAACCTCCTCTTCCATTTGAGAGTCATTTTCCAAGGCCTGCTGTGTGCCAAGCCCTGTCAGAGGGGCCAGCCTGTGAGGACAGTCAGAACAAAATGCTTCCTTCTAGAGTCTTGCCCTCCTTTGGGGATTGCAGCCTCACATGGAGTGTGCAGTGTGCGGCCTGTGCAACAGTGCATGTGTGGGTGCGGTAGGGGGCGGAGCCTCCGATCTCTGAATGAGTCCTGGCTATTTACTTGGGAACTTGGACTCAGACTCCTCCTGGAGTCCCCCCAATCCTGTTCTCCTCTGGGTGCACACCACCCCCCTTGCAGAAGGCCACCATGGACTTTGCTGTCCTGACTCCTGGCAAGTCCAGCCCCCACAGCCCTGCCAGGGCACTGGCTTGCCAGCCCCCTTGCTCAGCCTCGTCTCTGTGTGCAGCCTGGCCAGCTTCTGCTGGGAGTGCCCAACCCTCCTGGCCCCAGGGCCTTTACACCTACTGCCCATGCTGCTGGCTTTACACCCCTGCTTTCCCCACTCAGCTTAATGAACCCTGGGTCGTCCTTCTGATCTCAGCTGGGGGATCGTTTATTTGGAGGGCTCTGCCCACCCCCCGTTAGGTCTTCACCCTCACACAGTCCCCGCACTTTGTGTTCATTATTGTCCTTCTTGCTGGCTGCAAGCTGACAAGGGCAGGATGTTTGGACCACTATGTCCCCAGGACACTGCAAGTTACTCAGGAATGTTTGTTGAATGAGTAAGAAATACAAAAGGCAGTGGAGACTCTGAGAAGCCTCACAGGGGAGGTAACACCTGCCTGGAGTGGGCGAGGGGGGCGGGAGGGTTTGCTGTGCGGCCCCTGAGTCCCCGTCTCCCCGCAGATGTTCCAGGTCATCCAGCCTGAGCGGGCATTGTACATCCAGGCCAACAACTGCGTGGAGGCCAAGGCCTGGATTGACATCCTCACCAAAGTGAGCCAGTGCAACCAGAAGCGGCTCACAGTCTACCACCCGTCCGCCTACCTCAACGGCCACTGGCTATGCTGCAGGGCCTCCTCGGACACAGCCACCGGCTGCACCCCCTGCACCGGGTAGGTCGGTGCCTCTCAGATGCCCAGTGCAGCCTGGCACGGTTGTCCAGCTTGTGAAGTGTACTGGGAGGCTTGGCCAAGGGCCGGCACTGGAGCTAAAACGCAGCCCCGCCCACTGGGCAGCTGCATGCGAGGCCGAGCCTCCGAGGCAGTTCTCCCCACGATCAGGAGACTCTGCCCGCGAAGGCTCCACGCAGACCTCGGGCGCTCTGCCGGGGGTCCGGGCCGTCCTCGAGGAGGGCGTGGGCAGTGGAGGAGGGTCTCCATGCAGGGAGAAGGCCCAGAGAGGGTGCTGCCTTGTTTCTTCCAAGAAGAGTCTAGAAGTTTCCACCATCCTGCTCACACTGCCTTCAGTTCCCCGCCAACATCTGCGCACCCCCCTCCCTCTTTCAGAAACGGAGGCGGCTGGGCCTCCTGAGGGTTCATCTCTGCCAGTCCTGGGGGTAGGCCTGGGCGCCCGAGCCCCATGTGACTTGTGAGAACAGTGACAGACCTCCCCACAGCCTTGAGGGGGGAACAGGGGACGCGGCTTCACTGAAGCTGAGACGCGGGATAAACGTCTGTTGGGTCCCGCTGCCCCTAGAGGCTGCGCTGGGGTGGGGGCAGGAGCAGAGGCCCACACAGCCTCTCGGGGGACAGGGACCGACCCCTCCTGGGCAGCCCACCGCCCTTCAGGGCGCACAACCAGGGCGTCTGTACTATTTGTGGCAGAAAGGTCTGGGCAAGTCTGTGGGTACCTCCAAGGCTGTGGGTGGTCACTTCCAAATGCTCGTGACCAATGCCCCAGCCCTGGTCCGGGACAAGAGCAGCACCAGGTCCCTCTACCATCTTGAGTGACCTTTAAATAGTCTGTATCGTGACGACTCACACTTCCCTCGTATGTTCTTGGGGTGCTCGGGCAGCGGCCTCCCAGCCAACATCCAGCTGGACATCGACGGGGACCGGGAGACGGAGCGCATCTCCTCCCTCTTCAGCTTGTACATGAGCAGACTGGAGAAGATGCAAGGTGAGGGCCAGCGTCCCAAGTTGCGGTAGCTCTTGGGGCGCAGGCAGGGCCCTGGGACATGTGGGGCTTCTGCAGAGATGACAGGACGTAGACCCATCTGGGCGGTGAAGGTCTTGGTGCCGCGTTGCCACCTCATCAAGGTATGCTCCTCGGTCACAGGCTGCTGGCCGAGCTGGCGTGAGCGCGCGCTCTCCAGTGGTTCCCAGCCTTAGTTTCAGGAAGCCGTGAAGAGGAAGTGGGTGTGCTTGTGCCGTCTGGTCCTCATCATGCTCGCAGTCTGTTCAGCGGTCCAGTCGCGAGCCTTCCTCTGACGCTGGCCGTGGGTCCTCCCTTCTTCATGTTTGCAAAATTAGAAACTGCTCCCTCCCACTAATCCGGGGCCTCTCCCAGCACCCCTCCCCCGTCCACGCTCCTTGGTGCCCTGGGACGGGCCTCACCAGGACGCACGGGTCTCCTTCAGAGCCAGCCTGCCACCTGCTACGAGACCTACGGCACATCGACGCTGGGGAGCCCTGACCTCCTCCCTGAGGAGCGGGCCGCACCACCCCCACCTTGCCGGGCTGATCCAAGGGTTTTATAACACAGCCCTGTGAAGCGGTCTGCACAGTGCCCAGAGCTGAGTCGGCCGGGGTCTTGCAGCTGGCACCCCGTCCCGCCCCACCTTGGGGTCTTGGTCCTTCGGTGACTCCTGTCCTGTCTCTCAGTGGCCCCCACTTCCCAGAGGGATCCCTGAGGCTCTGGAGCTTGAGGGCCTTGCCGGGGCCTGGTCATCACAACCAGTGGGGCTCCAGGCAGGTAGCCAGGGCCGCTTGGCTCCGGGACCTCACCCTGTGCGGCTCACTCGCCCCGGTTGCCCCGGGTCGCCACTCCTTTACTCCTCATGTGAGGAACCCCCTTTCCTTTGAAGTTTTGAATCTTCCCAGTTTCCCTTTGCACAAACTTGAGGTTTTCCAGTAAGAAGAGCTTTCCCCCGAGCTGGATTTAAAGACAGTGAAGCTCTCTGTGGCGATGAACTAGCACACGCTGCAGACGAGGGTGGGGGGCCTGATGCTGGCTCACCGAGGCCCCAGAGTACAGGACTCAGCTCAGGGGTTAGCAGACAGGTGGGCGCCCAGAGGCCACCGTGTGGTCTTTGGCAGGAGTGAGGAGGTCTGATGAGAGACTTACCTGCTGAGAGGTGGGGGGACAGAGGTCCTAGGGAGCTGCTGGTGCAGACTGGCTGAGAGGTGGCCCCACAAGGACGGCTCCTTGTCCACCGTGTGCCCCGCTTGTCCAGCCGTGGGGCGTCCTCACGAGTGTTGGGTGGAGCTCGGCACCCCTTTCCTCAAGTTCATCTCCCCAGACTGACCCTGGGCCCAGGAGCAGACAGATGTCTGCCTGTTCTGGCTTGGGGAGCCGGTGGGCGTGGACAGAGCCAGGTCACCTGGAGAAGGGCTGGCCCTGGCGCTCAGGACGTCGGACCCTCAGGGACTCGGGTTCAGCATGAGCCAGCTCCTGGAGTGGCTCTGCTTTGTGTGCATGTGCACGAACGGTCAGCCCGTCCCCATGCAGCTCTGGGGCCGCCTGCCTGGGCTCCCAGCGCTGACCTCCGCCTCTCCCCGACGCGCAGAGGCCTGTGGGAGCAGGTCCGTGTACGACGGGCCGGAGCAGGAGGAGTACTCCACGTTCATCATTGACGACCCCCAGGAGACCTACAAGACCCTGAGGCAGGTCATCGCTGGGGTCGGGGCCTTGGAGCAGGAGCACGCGCAGTACAAACGGGACAAGTTCAAGAAAACCAAGTATGGGAGCCAGTGAGTATGTCGGGGAGCCAGGGAGCGGCTGCCTCAGACCCCTGCCTGCTTCAGAGCAGGGTCTCACTTCAACCTCCAGGCCTGCCGCTCAGTGTCCCGGTGCGGCCCCTCCAGACCCTCTGCCTCCCTCCTCCCTCCCTCCTCCTTCCTTCCAGGGAGACCTGGGTTTGGTCTGGCAGGGAAGGGAAGTGAGGACTCTGGAAGAGACCCCACCTCTGGCCAGGCTGCCCGGGATGCTGAGAGGCCCCAGGGACACTGCCCCATCTCTGCTCCCAGCTCCACAAACGTTCACATCACATTCCAGGCCCCTTAACAGCCTCTATCGAGAGAACCCATGTCGACCTTCTAGAAATGCTGCCTTTTCTTAAACGTGGCAGAGCCACCATGCTGAACACTTCCCGTGGGTGCCACTGTGCCCGAGCGCCATCCACTCCCACTCCCCCGCTCCACGTGTGGGCACACCGTGACCCGCCCTCACCCTCTCTTCCCCGCTCCCCCGCAGGGAGCACCCCATTGGAGACAAGACTCCCCTGCTCCACGCGTGCGCACACCGTGACCTGACCCGCCTTCACCCTCTCCTCCCCGCTTCCCCGCAGGGAGCACCCCATTGGAGACAAGAGCTTCCAGAGCTACATCAGGCAGCAATCTGAGATCCCCACCCATACCATGTGAAGCCTCCAGGACGCCCGGCCCAGGACGCCCCTGAGCCGCACCAGGGAGGCCCATGCTTGGGAAGGAGGAGGGAGAATCGCCCCGGGAGTGGCGGGAGCCGGTGAGGGGTCCGCACTCCAGCCGCTCACAAGACGGCAGGCGTTGAGCTCGTGAATTTCCAGGACTCCTGGGCGGCTGCCGGAGTAGCTGTGCACCTGATTCCACCCAGGCAGGGGACCCGAGCTGGCCTCTCTGGAACAGGTGCTGGGGACTGCACGTCCTCTGCAGAGCATGTGTTCCTGCGTCCTGTGCACTCTCGCCCCTGCTGGTCTCTGGGGGGCCGCACTCTCTAGCGCTCGGCCTCGACTCAGCTGGACACTGTTAGCATCACTCTTGTCCTATGAGCCTCCTGCCCCAGCAGCCACAGGAGCCGGTGACGGGCTGAGCTGGGTGTCCACCCAGCCCCCACACCAAGCAGACTGGTGTTGTTTGCTGCCAGTGGGGCTGAAAGTAGAACCCACGTTCGCTGCCCCAGTGGACGTCTGGGGAGACTGTACACATAGAATGCACATTATTTTCAAGCTGGTTTTCTTAACGTTCTTAAAGGACTTTTTAATTAGCTCCTTGACATCAAGTAACTCAGAGCATCCAAACCTGCTCCTTTCAGGGGGTTGGGATACCCCCAGAGGACGAAGAAGGGAACAGAGGTGTCTCACGGCAGCCAAACAAAGGTCCTCAGAGAAAACAGAGGGAGGGGTGGAGCCCTGGGCCCGTGGGGTGCAGACACCTGAGCCGGGAGCACGTCTCTCTGAAGCCCTGAAGGCTGCGAGCACTGCTTTGCACTGGAGTCGGGGTCCTGCCTCGGGATGCAGCCATCAGCCCCCAGCTGTTGCTGACTTCCCCCCAGCGGCCCTCACGGCTTTTGGCGAGCCCTGTTCAGACATGGAGGACCAGGGGCCTGTGCCCTCTGTCTGCCTTTTGCAGGTACTGTGTTCAGACTCACAGTGGCGTTACCTGTTCTCACAAAAATGGTGGAAAATGTTGCAAAAAAGAAACTTGGGACACATAGCTATTAGGCTGCACAAAACTGCAATTTTTAACATGGATTTATAACTTAATGTTTCTGTTTATAAGATACTAATGATTTGCAATGTATTTTACTGGTCAATTAAAATAGACGTTTTATTCTTTCTGAGACTGGCTTGGTTTCACAGGCATGCCCGCTGGCCATGCACACGTGGGAGACAGGGGTGTGTGGTGGAGGGGTAGGTGGGCTGCTGCGTGATGTGCCCTGACGACAGGTGGGGGCCCCTCAATGGCAGGTGAGGTCCCTTGGTGACGGGGGGTCCAGCTGTAGGGCTTTGGGCTGAGCTGGAAATCACGATGTTTCCTGGGATGGAAAGGTGTGGAGTTGGCATCTCAGGGCCATGGGAAGGTGTCCTACTGGAAACCTCCAGTGTGGACGGAGATGCGTCCAGCTTGAGGGGGGTGGGCTTTTGGGGCCCAGTCTGTGTCCACTGGCTCTGTCTCCAGAAACCTGCTACCCAGAGAGGAGCTGTCCTGGCTTCCCACCAGCCTGGCTGCGTCTGTCACCCTGACACCAGGAGCAGAGCCTCTGAGCCACGTCCCTGTCCCTGGGCACCATGGCGGGACCTGCACCAGCCACCTGGCTGGGTGGCCTTGTTCAAGGGAGGATGTGCATGTGGAAAAAGGGAATTAGTCACATTTGCTTCATTCTGAACATTTAAGGGCTGTCGGCTGGGTGCTGGGGGAAGCACCTGCTGTGACTTGTGCCTGTGGTCTCGGGTGGGGAGGAGAGAACTGCTGAGCAGGGTGGGAGAAATTGTCTGTGAGGCTGTGTTAGGGGCCGAAGTCTGTCCCCTGAACACTCGTGTGGTGTCCTCACTCCCAGGACCCCAGAATGTGGCTGCATTTCAAGGCATAAAGAGGTGATTAAAGTTACGCGAGAGCACGAGGGTAGCCCTGAGCCAGTCTGACTGGCGTCCTTCTAAGAAGAGGTCAGGACACAGACACGTGGAGGATGGCCACGTGAGGACACTGGGAGGAGACTGCTGCTGCCGGCCAAGGAGAGAGGCCCGGGATAACCAGCCCCCCCTACACCCAATACTGGACCTCCAGGCCTCAGAGCCAGAAAGCGGATCTCCGCTGTGAGGGCCCTGCCACCGGCATCTGCTGGGGCAGTGCCAGCCACCCAGCTCAGACTGGAAACACCGAGCGTGTCCAAAGGTGTGGCCCTGAGCCGAGTCCACGTGGAGAACCCCCGTCTGGCAGGGGGAGGATGCAGGATGCCACCGAGGGCCCAGGACTCCAAGTGGAGCCACAGCCACCACCCCTGCGTCCTTCGTCCCCAAAAGGAAACAAAAGATTCCACCGAAGGCTTGAGCAGACCCAGCACCAGAAGTGCCCGCGGAGGCGTGCAAAGGCGCCCGCTGTCTGGCCCTGCTGCCGTCTCTGGGGAGAGGCAGAGGCCCTGGAAGGAGCCCATGCCTGCATGAAGGGCTGCTGGGCTGACCTCTGGCCTCTGACTTTGTGCTGATGTCACAGGGGCCACCTAGCAACGGCCCAGGGTGCACTCGGGGCTCGTTGGGGGTCAGAAGCCATGCTCTCTGTCTGAGGGCTGCACAAGACCTGGCAGGCATCCCTCTTCTTTCTCGAGACCTGGAGGCAGTGGAGGATGGAGAAGGACACCGCGGCCGCACACAGGAGGCACCGGCTGGGCCCCGGAGCCCCTCCCTCCACCGTGGGCCCTGGACACCTCAAGGCAGCCAGCGAGATGGCCGAGCTCCAGAGGAGCAGGAGTGTGGGTGGCCTGCACCAGAAGGGCCACCCTCCCAGCTGCATCGAGAAGCTGTGCAAGGAGCCAGGTGGGGTGGCGGGGCTGGGCGGATGGCACGGGGCGGGCGGCTCACCTGGGGCCAGCGAGGGCCTCCTCCCAGGCCCACTGCCCCTGCTTAAGATCCTAAGGCCAAGGTGGAGGGCGTTGGGCGCTAAGGTCTGCAGGCAGGGCCACCTGGGGTTGGGGCAGTGCCTGGGGCTTGAGGGGAGCAGCCTGGGGCAGGGGGCTGGCTGGAAGCTTTGCTGAGGGCAGGAGGAAGGATGAGGACAGACAGAGACCCGGACCCCCGGGCCTTTGAGGGCATCGGCTGCATTGAAAGACGGCTGTCACATGGGGGCCGGCGCGGGAAGTGTCCCGGGTTTATAACGAGGCCCTGGGCTGAGCCCTGCTCCTGCTGCAGTGAACCGGTCCTCACCGCGGGGGCAGCGGTGAACACAGGGCTGGTGCCGCTGGTGTGTTTATGCCTTACACCGCGCCGTGTTTCCCACTCCAGCGTATCTCGAAACGTGCCAGGTGGGGTCGTGGGGTGGCCGAAATAGGTCATGGCCCCAAACAGCGGATCCTAGTGCAGCGCTTCCCTTGAACATCAGCTGTCCCAGGGCCACAAGACCCTGCGTCGTGTTGTCTGAGAGATGGGGGCTCACCCAGGTGTCTGAGGCGCCGCCGGAGTTCTGTTCTCCCAGGAAGTTCAAGCCAGCAGGTACCCTTGTCTGAGACTGTCGGAGCCCAAGGAACAGAACAGTAAGCAGGAAATACGGTTTGCTTGTTCAAACCCTAGGAGTGACTTGCAGAAGTCCTGGTGGAAAATGCTTGTTCTCTCAACATGAAAATCCAAAGGTGCGCTGTTTCAGGAGGAGGAGATGCTGGCTGGGGTCTCTGCCCCCTCGTCTGTTACCGTCCCCACGGGCCTCTCTTCTCAGGCTCCCTCAAGAGGGGCAGGGTCCCTAACACAGAGGAGATCCACCGTAACCTGCTCAGGAAATAGTCCAAGAAGCCCCGGAGGGCATGTTCCAAACAACACAGGCCACGGGCCAGCCACTAGTGGGACTCAGTGAGGGCTGGAGGAAAGACTCGGTTCTGGCCGTTTCTGGACCTTCTCACCCCAGCCCTGGGTCCGCAAAACTGGTGGAAGGCACCTTCCCAAGTGCTGCATTGTCGTGCCCCCTGCACACCCGCCCCCGAGGCCCCGGGCCTGGTGGGGCTCCCAGATCGTATTGTAGGGGCCGAGCCCTTGGAGGTCCAGAACCTGCAGGAGGCAGAGCAGGAGGCCTCACCTGCACATACCAGGGAAGGCTGCCCTAGGCCTCACCATCCATACGGTAAAATGGGACGAGGAGCAGCCTCGCTGAGTCCCCAAGCTGACCAGGACTTGATGCTCACACACATAGGGAGCCCCAGGTACCAAGGTGACACAGGTATAGGACGTGGCCCCAGACAGCTGGCTTAGTGGGCGGGGCCGGGGCGGGGCCGGGGCAGGGCCAGAGGGAGCCTGTGGGATGCGCGTCCAGCTGGGCCCTGGAGGAGCCGGCTGGCAGAGGACCCGCGAGAGGCCATCGCTGTGCTCCTGAGCGAGAGCTTTAAGTGCCCGCGTGGACCCCACATCCTGACCTCTGGCTGCACAGAATCTGCCCAGGCTGTTGCCCCCACCAGGCCTGCTTCTGCTCCAGGGAGGCCCGTCCAGAGGCGAGGAGGGGCTATTCCTTTCCCAAGGGTGGGCTCCAGGCCTCAGGCCCCTCTGCTGGAACAGGACCCGCCGAGAACTTCCACACGTTGGACACAGCCTCGTGCTGCAGAGCGGGTAAGGGAGCGCGCTCACCAGATGTCCCGTCTAGTCTGGTCATGCAGAGGGTCCAGGACCCTTGCCCAGCCCACGCCTGCCCCGCCCTCCGCTCACACCCCAGCCGAACCCAGACTTATAGGGGGCGTCTCATATTGGAAAACACAGTCTGCACGTGCTTTGATGAGCGTTTAAAGCCCAGCTGAAGAGAGGCAGCAAAGCAAGCGCTCTCTCCACATCCCAGAGCAAAGCTTCTGACGGCTGCCCCCTCTGGGAGGCCCGCCTGAGGTCCAGCGGGAACCGCGCCCACACCCTCTGCTGCCCTGAGGCCTGTTAGCTGAGCCCGGCAGGTGTGCCTGGGACCCAGACAAACAAGATCTTCCTTAGAAAGGGACAAAGCAGGGAACCTACGTTCATATTTTCACTTTAGGAGAAGGCACGGGGGCAGGCAGGTGTTTCCAGCCCCACATGTGCTGCGGAGCAAAGAAGAACCAGCCTCTCGTTTCGCCTTTCTTCCCTCTTGCCACACGTTCTAGGAAGGAGCACGTTTGAAGATCTGTCTGGGACAGACCATGTCTTTGGAAACATTCACACACAGGCCCACGCGCACACGCATAGACACGTGAACACACGCCTATGCGTCCACGCGGCCTGGGGGCTGCTGAAGATTTCCCAAAGAAGTCCTCATTAAATTCCTGCCAGGAAGCCATTGATTCTGAGCTACCTCGCTGAGAGCTGCCACGTCCTGGGATATTCTCTGAAGACCTGCAGCCGCCCACTGCGCCCTCACACGCCCCCTTTGCCTTCAGGGTCTTGCTTCCAGGTGGCCAGGGCCTGCCTGGGGACGGCACAGCCACAGGTCAGCAGCGCTCTGGGCCTGTGTTGGCGCTGTGAACGGAGAAGGGCGCACCACACCTAGTTCCCATCTTCAGGGATCTGGGCCCGGAGACTGAGGGACACGCGCGGGTGCCAGGGAGGCCAGGTGTGGGGAGACACACCCTCCAGGAAGGTCGCTTAACACAGATGGCGCCAGGAGCCCGTGAAGGCTGGCGCTGGAGGGCGGCAGGGCCAGGGACCTGCTCTGGGGTCAGGGCGGGCAGTGTGTGGGAGTGGGAGGACCAGCAAGGGTGGGATGCAGGCAACTTCCAGGAGCCAGGCAGTCACCTCCTCTGCCCGGCAGGTGCCCCGGCCCTGAGGCCTGTGATGAAAGGACACTGAATGGCCGGTCCAAACTCTGTAGGAAGTCCTCCAGGAGACCAGCTGCTCAGAGGCCCTGCCAGGGGGCTGTGTTTGCATCGGGGCCCTGGGTGTGTGTCAGGAGCTTGGGGGACAGTATGGAGCGGCTCCAGGGACCCCAGGTCTCAACCGTCTTGGACTCACACGTACCTGCACACAAATGGGACCTGGAATGTCAGCGTCCTTGAGGCCCTGGAGGCTTCCTCTTAGGTCCCCACGGGGGCAGGACATGCTCGGGGTCTGCACACTCCCAGGAGCGAGAAGCCTGGGTTCACCAGGAAGCGATGGCCCCCCACTCTGAGCTCAGTTCACGAGGCTCACGCTC